TTTAACTACTAAAGAAATCAAAAGATTAATAGCTAATGGATGGAAAAGATTTTGGCCACTGAAAGAGATAATGAAAGTAACAGACTTTACTAAAAAAATTATATGCAAGATCTTTAACACTTGTTTCCTCCCATGCTCCGATACTTATGTTTGCGAAACTTGGACACTTTTTAAACTTTACAAGGATATGCTAAAATATAGTCAGAAAGCTATAGAGAGAAGCATGCTGAGAATTAAAAAAACTAGACAGGTAAAGAAACACATATATAAATCGAAGACAAGTGTGACTGATATCCTAACTAAAATAGACCAATTGAAATGAAGATGGCGGGTCATATGCTACGTAGCCCTCATGATAAATAAAATAAAATAGAGGTGGACAATGCAAAAGATTAATAAAAATCACATATACTCGTACATAGGTAATATTTTATAAAAGGATATAAAGGGTATTGTAATTTATTTTATATATTTAAACATCTTTATAAACCATTTACATTTAATAAAAATAGAATTATAATGATACTAAAATATTTTATTAAAACTTTAATAACTTCACGGATGTTCTACAAACTGAAGGCGAGTGCTTAAAATACCTACTTCGAACTATACTAAGGCAATTACTATGCCGTATACTAAACTTATGCATTAAAATAACGCTCCAAATCCTTGAACTACGATATATATATATATATATATATATATATATATATATATATATATATATATATATATATATATATATAGATATGACTCTTGCTTATATTTTTTTAAATAATATTTTCTTTTATACAGACAAATGAGGTTATTAAAAAACCATAGAACATTTTAAATGGGTGAAAATGGAATGGTTACTCCGCCTACACTGTCAGCAGGTATATGCGAGGGTAGAGCATATACCTGCATTTGACATTACACATTTATCTATCTATCTATACTTATAATAAATCTGTAGAGAGATCAATTCTGTACATGAAATATATTTCCAAAATAACTATCAGGGGTTGATTAGTGATCGATACTGATGCCAAAAATGCAATCAGTAAAATTTTTGTCTGTCTGTCTGTATATTCGTAATAGAAACAAAAACTACTCGACGAATGTTAACGAAACTTGGTACAATTATGCTTCATACTTCTGGGCAGGTTATAGTATACTTTTCATCACGCTACGATCAATAGGAGCAGAGCAGTAAGTGAAATGTTGGGCAAACGGGAAAAGTTACTCCATTTTTAAGCATCCGTCGCATGTGCAGCCTTAATGGCCACTTTTAAAAATGTAAAAATATCCACCCGTGCGACGCCGGGACAAGCCGCTAGTAACATAATAAAACCGGAAACATGAAATATTTTGTAATTCACAACTTATTGATTTCTTTGATACTCCATATCGTATTTTAAATTTATAACATTTAAATAGGTACACCTGATATAAACGTCAATATAAACATAAGTAACTAACTAATCTTATCAATATAATAAAATTATAACTAAACAATGTCTGTATATGGAAGATATTTAGGAAATATTAATATGAAAAATCATAATCAGACCAATAAAGCCAATACAATAATTTTTAGAAGTTTTATCTGTTTGTATGTTTGTTCTGGCATCACATAAAACTGCTGCACCAAATTAATTGCAGTTTTTACAGTTGTGTTTCTGAAGATTTCTCTTACAATCTGGTGTATGTTTTTAAGTGGTTTCTTTTATTTTTCTACTTTTAAATTCTACGTGTACAAAGTAGTAGGAAAAAGTTAGTAACTAATATTTATAAAATTGTGTGGTTGGGAAACAATTACAATTATGCGTACACGTAAAACTGTACTGTACATTTTGAAAATTTACAAAGTAAATTGTATGAAAAAAGTACATATAAAAAAGCATATACAAATACAAATATGAGTATATAATTATTGCCGACTGGTTACGTTGCCGGCAACACTTTGTGTAGATTTTTAACTAACTTTATAAAAAAAATATTATTTTCAAATTAATTTTTCCGCGTGATAACGGTATGCTCGTCCCTCGTCACGTTGCATTCTAATATCATCATATCAACCTTTAACTGTCCATTGCTGAAATAAGCTTCCTCCTTGGAGAGTTTTGTCAGTAGTTGCCATGCTTGGCAAGTGGATTGACAACCGCAGTTAGGCTTTGGAGAAGTTTTAAGAGGGATGCTACTGCCCACTTCTTGCTCATTATAATATGACTAATATGCTTTCCAACCGATGTGGACCTTCTGCCTTTTGCATCCATTTTCTTCCCGCTGTTTTGCGGAGATCATCAGTCCATTTGGAAGGAAGTCCGTTTGCGGTACGTTTTCTTATACACGGTTTCCATTCTAACAGTTTTTTATATCTATATTTTTATCTTTATTTATCTGTGTGTGTTTGTGTGTGTGTCTGTGTCTGAATGTGTGTGTATATATACGACAATGTTATCAATCAACTTAAAACATGTCTATAAAAGTTGTTTAGAGTGTGTTTTTACGAGCATTGTGTTCAATGTTGCTAACGTCATCAATACCCATGTGTCGCTGTTTGCGGCTCTCATGTCTGATTGATTACAAAATAAACTCATGCATCACAGAAATACTATGCAACTACATATATTATAATCACTGTATTTATTTATCAATAATATATAATTACATACGTCATTAAAACAATACGATATAAAAGAAATACAAGCTATAAAGATAATTAATTACAATATACTTATTTACCCAATTAACACCATTTCTTTATCGGTAATTAGAGTCGTGAAGAATAAGTTCAGATAACCGAATATACGGATAACGAAGCTTTTATTTTAAGTTTTTTGTATTTCGCAGCTTCACCCTCGTGAATCCGTGTATAAAGTATCATATCTCTTAAATTTTATGATAAGTATAACCTACCCGTGTATCAAATTTTATTCAAATCTATTTAGTAATTTCTACGTGATCGAGTAACAAATATCTTTTTATAGATCTTCACAAACCTTTGCGTTCAAATACAATAATAGTAGCATAGTACGATGACCTCACTATTATTCGAATTCAAGGTCAATTTTCAGTACAACATACCGTTTTATGAATAGGCTCAGGACTTTGTTGTAACCCCCAATCTTGACTTATAATAATCAATAACCTATCTTAGTTTCGGAACCAAGTAATAAGTACGCGTAGATTCCAGACGTAGGAAAACTAATGACATTTATATTCTAGATAGGATATCAAGATTAAATATCTATCAGTTTTTAGATTGGACCTTACAAAATACGACTGTGAAAACTATATCCAAATTAGTGCCATAGTTTTTGCGTGATACCGGAACAAACATACAAAAAGACAAGCAGACAAATTTACTACAAATTATTATTTTAGCATCTATTTATATCATTAAAATCCCTTATATCATTTTTTTCTTAAATATCTCCCATGTACAGCAATCCTTTAGTTACAACTTTATTATATCAATAAGATGTATTATAACATTGTACTATATATCATAATAAAGGAAGATGTTACACGTGCAATCAATCCTTAGATATGCGTACTGTAGATTGGCTATATATACGTGACGTCAATATTCACCCATTTCATGGTCCCCGTGTCAATAGCAATATTGCAGGTAAACGTAAACACCTTTTATATAAGTCGCCTTAGCCTTGAATTATTGTGATTCTTATTGAGTATATCAGTCGAACGAATTGTGTTTAAAAATAGAGTTAATATGTTACATAAATTATTTATATATTTTATTTTTATTTTGTGTATTTTCACAAATATATATGTATGTATTTATCTTCATATCTCCTTTAAACGATAACTTAGTGGTAATTTCCTAAAACTAAATACCTATAGGTACAATTAAGAATCGATAGCTATTTGTAAAATATATTTATGATTTCTTTCTGAGAGAGATATATATCTTTCTATCTATCTTTAATAAGATTGTCTGGAAGAGATTGCTTCGCAATAAGACCGCCTCTTGTACTATGCTATGCTTATTGAAAATTCTTCAAATTCTTTAAATTAATAAATCCTATTTTTTTAGTTACCATTAACCTAAACATTGTTGTCTTAACTAAACAATGAACAAAGGTTTTCTGCTTTGTAATGCTAATCATCAGGATCCATCCATCTCTCACCGATCCGTTCCATTATGTAAGGAACGTTAGAAAATCCTCAGAATTGGCCTCAGAAAACAGATCAAGTGCGTGTCGAACTCCCATTAAGGAAGTTGTGGTTCCGTATCTACTAGATTACACTGCTATAAGAAACAAGTATTGTATGAACACTATGTAATTTATTAAACGTTCAAAATTATCTCCCCGATTTGAATTCATAGGTAAAATTATAATAAAAAACAAATATATTCATTTTAAAGTGTGGCCCTAGCGTACAATGAGCTACACCCTTCCTTTCCCATGGATGTCGTAGAGGGCAACTAAGGGAACTTAATGATCGAAAGATGATCAGCAGCTTCCCTCTTAAAACATCACTAAAGCCTTACTGTAGTTGCTAATCCGCCTGCCAAGCGTGGCAACTAATGACGAAACCTTCCAAGAGAGAAGCCTATGTTCAGCGGTGGATAGTTAATGGCTGATATGATATGGTATATTTACTTAGTAGTATAGTTTACTTGTGACTTTGTCCGCGTAATCGGAACACGTTGCAATCAACAGTCAATACCGAGATAAAAAATAGCCTGTCTTCTTCTTTATCCCAAATACGCCATAAGTACCAATCTCATTCTCATATTTTTAAAATTAATTAATAATTTGAGGACGTCGATAATGAACAGTAGATAATAAAGTTTTCAGAAAAGAATATTTATCTCTTTTTGTACTTTTATTTTTTTTTAATTTTTTTGCAATAAGAATGTTACAAGAGTTTTACACTCTAATCCCGTTTCGAAGCCAGATACTAGATAACAAAATTACAATCACGTGTATTTTATTATTTTTGTATAATTAATATTTATTCTTATATACTTATAAATTGGTCAACAGGTCTTTATAGCCGCCGCACACGCATTACAAGATAGCGGCAAATTACTGGAAGTGGACACAGAACGTCTGTTTTCTAACATCCCAGATGTTTTGAACGCCAGTTTGTACTTTTGGGAAATCACAATCTACCCCATGCTGCTTGACTCTGCTGAGAAATCAGCACCGTAAGTTGTTTTAGATAATTATATTTCACCTATGGACATTTCACTACATAGTCAAATAATTTATAAAGTTTAAAAACAAATATATGGTGTATGCTAATATGAGTATTATTGGGGTTGTAATTAATGTCGTTGAAGACGACATTAATTACAAATTATTTTAATAATGTAATTAATATTACAATAGAATAACTAGAAAAATAAAAAGGAAATACTATAATTTCTTAATTTACGAAACGGTACCCCATATTGGATCATCTGGAATACTTTTATCGTCACATGTCCTTTTTATTTCAGTTTCAATACTGAGTTCATGGCCCAAGGATTCTGCCGTTTCCGCGATCTTTTCCAGCCTTACGAGAAATATGTGAGCGAGCAAACCAAAGCATTAGACTACCTTCGCTCCCTCTCGTCCAACTCTGATTTCATGATGTATCTGACTTGGTGCCACAGCCAAAAATCTTGCAACAGGTAAGTCAAATCAAGAAAAATACTTTCCTTGTCATTATTATATATCATCGTTTAATAATCATCAATATATTTTTTTATATTCGGCATAACATTTACTTAGGTATGTCTTTTTATAAAAAAGGAAAATATGTAAAATATTTAGTATAAAAATGTTTCTGTATTAATTAATTTGATATTATTATTAAGTCTTACTCCTAAAATAATGCTGATATTTTTATAACTATATTAAAAGACATCGACTAAATAAATGCCAAATATAATAAACATATATTAAATGTTGATTCGCTACATATTAATGAAGGCACTTAATATCTTATCCAAACTCTAACACATGGAAAGATATTGAGTTAAATCGCTAGGGAAACGCCTCTGGCCTTCGATCACAAATCGATGCTATATAGGTCCATCTTCTAATAATAATCTATGGTGCCACAAGAAGGCCACAAATTGATTTTCCATTGATTTTACTTACTTTATAAATTAGTTCATTATCGTTATAACTTTAATATATGTTATTTGATATTATATTATTTGCAAACTACGCAACTCGCCACCGCTACTAATTAGTTCTAGTACAAATAGCGGTGTCACAACTAGCAAGCCAGTTTCCTGTAATTTACAAACCTAAGCTTCTGTTATTAATTTCAAGGGATAATTAAGTTCCTCGGGGATAGTTGGAGCAGGTGAATGTAGGTCACATGTGTTTAAACTTAGTCAGTTGGGCACTATTGAAATGTTGCACGAGTTCGTGCTTTCATGAAAATTTGGAAACTTATTGTATAACAGTATACTTTAATTATTATAACGCTAGTATGTGCGAATTAATGAAACGCTTTCACAATTTACATATTACAGTTTTGTAAAGTAGTAATATTTCTAAATTCTAATAATTCAAAATTTACGGACAAATAATTATCTACTATTATTATTTCTTCCCTGTATTCGAAGAAACTATTATGCAAATTTGGTATTTGTAACTTCAATAATATTGGCTTTAAAAGTACCCTTTATAATATTAATGTAAAATTTGGTACATCTAAAATGAAATAAATATTGAAACGAAAAAATATTTTATTTCATGATGCCTTATACGAAGAATACTTATTTACAATAACAGCTAAGTAAATTAAGTAAAAGAAAAATATTTAAACAATATAATGTATTTTATTCTACTACTTTGTGATACACTCATAAACTTCTTATTGAAATATAATTAAAAGGAGTGACCTATTAAATCTGTTTGTTTTAAAGAAATTTAATTAAAAAGTGATAGAAATGGAAATAGGTATTTTCATAAAAGGATTGTTTCCAGACTCCAACTGTCGGATATAATGGTTAAACCGATGCAGCGTTTAACCAAATACAGTCTCATTTTGAGGAGAGTCATAGCCCATACAGATGCCGAGCCGGAGCGAACATCGCTAATTGCAATGGTATGTAACTAGTACTTAGTATGTAAAATGGAACATTCCTATTATGCAGTGTTTAGTTTCTAAAATGAAATATCACAGTGATGTTGTACTTCAATAACTAAAATTACTTACCAATTCGAAGGCATTGAGATTTTCATATAATGTCGTTTTTATATTCCGTTCTATACAACCCTTCTTCTCCAGGGGGGAAAGGGATTGTTAGTAATGGGGTGGTTAGTCCCTATCGCTATCAATATACTTAATCAGGTCAACCTCCACGCGGTTTCCCCTGGAAACCACCGTGACTAATTTATCGTTGAATTCGTCACGATGGGCTAACTGACCTTTCATCCTCACCTATCATCCCTCACTGGTGCCCCGCCAGTGTATACCGATAGCGCAGGCAAGGTTACCATTCCATTATCATCCATAAAAAAAAACCTTCTCCATCCTATCTTCGTGAACGTTTTGATTTCCTAATTCTTCATGGCGTATCTTCTCGTTCAACGAAGTCTCTTATTCTCAAAATTTCGACTCACTCTTCTACGCGCTATACCGGATCTTTTTTCGTCCATGCTGCCAAACTGTGGAATTCCCTCCCATGTCTGTCCGTAAGAGTGTGTGTCCTTAAATATTTTTATAAATAGATTTAATGAACATCCTCTATCCTCTGAGTAATCCTTTTGAACATATATTTATTTAAGTGTGTAGGTATATATATATATTTATATATGCATATGTATGTGTAAGTATATTTTTATGTCGTAATTGTTCTACTTACAATTATATCACATTAATTACCTGTTGAAATTACAATTTTAAAGAAAAAATACAAATAGAAACTGGTTATTTATAAATCAGGAAAAATAAATTTTATTCATATTACTTATGAAAATCAATAATAACTATAAAATAGCAAAGAAACTTAGAGGTAAATATCGATGTAGCAATTTTATTAAAAATAATTACAAACTTACCTACAACGCCTAGAATATTATTATCGTGTTAATCATATTACCGTAATATTATATTTTAATATACATTTTTTTATAAAATATGTATATACCTATAGATAAGAGCCGCACGCTCCTTGGTAAGGATTATTTGACGACTTCCTATATTTTAAATTCATTCATTCATTCATTATAAATTAGGTTTTTTTATTATCATTCTACATTAAAGAATTATTTAAAAATCGGTTCAATATACAAAATAATATCGAGTACAAAGTGCACTAAAAAATAGTCTTATAAAATTATTAACAACACTTATTACAAAATATTATATAACAATAACAATATAGAAACAACAATATTTTAGTTTTAAGATATTGAATAGGAAAATGTCTTTGATTACATTTGTTCGCCATTTATTATACAGGAATCTTTCTCCAAAAATTATGTATTGGATCTGAACCGCTCTATCCGGCAACGCGAGGAACTAGAGAGATTGGAAGCCCTCGCCAACTCTATCGATGCGTACGAGCTTGTGAGTATTATATTGAATAACTTTTATTAATGTTGGATTACTTTAATTAACTTTTCTCTGTGTGTGAATGTTTTGTATGTAAGGCCGGATCCACACCATGATCTCGGTTGCGGTTTATTCTCGACCCGATCTCGGTCTGGTAGATTATTATTACGTAAAAAACAATATATATATATTCATAATACAATGCAGTCCAATTCCGTTCCAGGGTCTATCAATAAAGATTATTTTTTGCTCAAGTAAATTTAATTAACTCACCAGAGAGAGACTTTGTACAAAAGTCGATTGCTTGGGTATCTCTGTCCCATTCGTGTTTCAGCCGTAAAGCAGTTGTGTTTGCATGGCTGTGTTTCGGTTTGAAGGGTGGGATATGGCGCGAATTTACTGGGTACGGAGGAATAACACCTGAGTCCTCAGGAATAGCAACGCATGGGGAGTATCATGGGCGAAACAGTATACTCTGTTATATCCATGGTACTGCTCATGTCTATAGACGACGGTTACCACTTTTCATCAGGTGGGCTGTCAGCTTGTTTGCCATTTCGAAGTTGTATAAAAGAAATTAAAAACATTTCCGAATTTTAAAATAATTCTAACGCCCATTTGGAATGCAATTTCATTGAGAAGAACGGGCAAACAAAAATCAACTGTTGTTTTCAACAAAACAAACAACAAACAAATTGAGTTTACAATTATAAATTTGTATCAATACAGAGAAGCAAAGAGCATAAGAGTTATTTTAATATTATAATTGAATTGTATGTCAAACAAAATATATTCAGATATATGTTACCTAATTTATACATAATAAATATCCCATGCATGACCATTTAGAGCCTTGTAAGTAACAATTTAATGTGAAAAAGATCTTAATCCTTAATTTTTTTAATAAAACTTTAAATTTGTTGAAAGATATATCCAATGTATAGTTTGAAATCTTTTTATAAATTTTATCACCCATTTCCAAAAGGAGTCTATTTACTTTTTGTAAACGATTCTTAATAACAAACTTATATTTATGTCTATCATTGAAACTATGAACATGACTGTTGATACAAATATTAGTTCTTACGTATATATTATATGTTTGCGTGCGTATATTGTAAATATATGCTACAATAAATTTCTTTCTCTTTCGCTACAATAAATTTAGTCTTTAAACTTCTTTCTCAATGAAATACGGTTTTACAGACAGTAAATAGCTCGAGTCGCACATCTATGCAGAATAAATATATTCTGAACGTCAGCTGCTATCTTATGGTCACGGCATAAATTTGGCCACACCTTTCATTCCGTTAGGTGTCATAAGAAGCAACCAATAAAACGTAATGGCCAAAGGATGGACAGCAGTATCCCATTTAAAATATCCCCAAAACCTAACAGCGGTTGCCAACCCACCCGCTAAGTATGGCATTTACTGACAAGACCCCCCTTCAATTGGAGAGCCCTATATTCAGCAGTGGACAGTTAACGGCTGATATGATGATGATAAACATCCCATAAGATAAAATACTATGAAAATAACTGCAATTACTAATTTTGCAATATCAAAATTGGTGTACTATGTGACCTTGCGTACTGCAAAAGTCTTTATATATGAGCCTATTGGATTTTTTTTCTTGAGAGTGATCCTGAGAAAAGTAGTTGAATTGATAAAATTAGACTAATGTATTTATTTTAATAACAGAAATATTTTTGGGATACCTAAAAAGTAAAAAAATACACATTTTATTTTCTTAATACGAAATTGTTAATAGTATACCAATACAGGAAATGCAACCGAGTTTTCTTTTGAATATCAAAGAAGTGTCATCTGTAAATATACCATTTATATGGCATCTATCCTGCATGGCAGAAAACAGTCATTTATATACACTAAAAATAAAAAGGGACTAAAAATGGACCAAGGATTGATCCTTGAGGAACACCTACTCTTACAATAGATTCATTACAAAAGACACCGTCAACTTAAACTTCTTAAATTGTGTCGGTTAAGCATGATTTATTTAATCTAAAGCTTTATCTTTAGCCCCATAGAAATTAAGTGTATTTTTGGAATGTAATATGGTTTACGCAAACAAAAGCCTTACATTAATCGCAAACAACTCCGATCGCATCTATTTTGCTTTACCACGCTCCCATGTCTCCACCACGCTGTGGTGGGCGTGGGTAGTGACTCTTATGTATTAATTCATTTGTATTAAAGATATTAACTAATTGATTTAACATTTTTCTTTTTTCAGAAAATATACTTAACATGGTATAATTTGCTGGACCCGTGTTAGTATCGAATTTAAAATATGACAAGTTATTTTGATTTTTGAAATAAATTACTAAACCGATTTCATTAAATCCCTATGGCACCTTTCAGATAAAAATGTAATTTCAAATCAGTTTGTAGCTGACGGAGTTGTGAGGTAACAAATATGAAAAAAAAACAGAATTGAGATTTTACTTCTTTTTGAAGTTGGTAGATAAACGTTGATAAACGGTGGTGCAATAGTTTCGATTATGGTATGAAGTATTTTAACTGTTATATATACCTCATAAATCTTCTGTATTTTAATCTCGAAGTATTTCTAGTTACCATATTGAGATCAGATTGAGAATGAACCATGTTCGGCTTTATAGCGTTGATCTGACAATACCCAGAGGAATACAATAATTGATTTTGTTGTAAATTATTATATGTATGTCGTTTCAATTAAGAAAACTTTTTATGTCTCAACACAAACAACATGTTCCTTTTCAACAGCATAAAAATATAGACCAGCGTAAAGATATAGACGATCTTGCTATAGCGGTATCTTGGTGTAATGGTTTAACTCACTGCCTCACCTTCTGATGGTTACAGGTTTGATGGTTACAGTTTGGTTGTTATCTGGATGTTTTTTGTGTATAATATGTATGTATTTATGAAAGTATTTAAGTATGTCAATCAGTGTCGAATATCGCCTACCCGTAGTGCAAGCTCTATTTTATTTGCGACTGGATGGTGCTGTCATATGTCCAGTGGTTTCTCTATCTGCATATATAAAAATCAATTCCTGTTCATTAATCTTGCTTAAACTCAAAAACAGCTTGATCGATTTTAATAACTCTTTTTTTGTTTTTATTTTATTCGTTGTGGTGTTAGGGTGGTTAAGAAAAAGTAGTCTTAAAACCCTAAAGTGTAGCTGGAAAATCTAAAAATTAAAAGTATATAATTCGAATCGCTACTTCAGTTTACATTTACCAGATGGCGTTGTAGATGATACGAAGTCATACGCACAATGGCTCAAATGAGAGGCTAAGCGCGGAAAATAGAGTCCTATTTACATTACATTTTACAGATGATACGAAGTTCATCGGATCATCTAGTTATTAATATTGTATTAAAGATTGTCAAAAAAAAATTAAAAAAGACTTTATTTATGTGTCTTTTTATGTTATTATTGTTTCCGATGAAGGATTTTTTATTAAGTTATATAGATTATTTATAACCTAAGAATGAGCACCTCTTTTTTAACAATATTTAATACTAGCGATACGGGCTGGCTTTGTGCGGGTACATAGAATTTTGAAAATAATGTATAGTCTATATTACTTGCTGATAATGTAGCTTTCTACAGGTGAAAGAATTTCTAAAATCGGTTATACTTAACCGATTTTAGAAATTCTTTCACCTTTTTTAAATTTATCCGTTACAAACAAACGATCAGTACAGAAAAGACGATTGTACTATAAATCCTATTAATATTAATTATCCTATTAATATGTCTATAGGCGACGGTTATCACTTTCCATCAGGCGGACCGTTAGCTTGTTTGTCATTCTAAGTTGCATAAAGAAAAGAAAATACGCGATTTTATTAATATTCTAAATACGACACTTTATAAGAATAGACAAATGGAAGGATATTTGTTAGTCTTTAACGCAAAAATTACTAAACAGATTTGCATGGAATTAGGTATTCGAGTAAATTATATCATAACCATAGAATACTTTATAAACTGATGTACGCAGGCAAAGCCGCGGAATACAGCTAGTGAATTAAATACTAGTGAATAAAAATATAAAAATGCATTGTTAACACATATTTAAATTCATGATCGGGACTTAACGCGACGCGAGTATCTACATACCTGATTTTATAGCTGATATCGAAATGGATTGCACCACATCATATCCTGGCAAGACAAAAGTGAATGTCTTTTTCTGGCAGCCCGCGTACTTTCTTCGCCCATTCTCACATTATTTATTTATTTAATGTATTTATTGCTTGTCATACAGATAAATAAATAAACTCAGTTTGAGGGTTTCGAATAATAGTCGACCTTCGATCTATTTATTTACACGTAAATTAAATCGGTAATTATTACTTTAAAATATAATGCGTGCTTACGAAATGTTTTAACAATAAAATTGCAAATAATGGTAGGTGCATTATATTTATACAATTACAAACATTCGAATATTTCAATTAAGTATTACATATTATTTAAAATATTTAAATTGTACAGTTAAATTTCGACATTCACAAGCAGAATAAATTAATATTTACATTTTACATTTATCGGCTATGCATTCCTGTCGGTACAGGAATGTATGGCCGATAAATGTAATATCTTTTTTATATAAAATTGTACGAAGTTAATATTACTATAATAGTCTATAACTGCCATACACACCGCACTGACAGCATCCATACTACGTTTATATAATCTACAACGAAATGTCGGCAATAAAAATCGGGTATGCAGGTACTATTTGCCTGTAATCGTGTCGCATTAAGTTCCGATCGTGAATTTAAAATATATGCCTTCGTGCCCTGTAATTTCACTGCTATATCCCTTCAAACCATTACAGCTATGCAAGCACAACTGCTTTACAACAGAGACACAAATAAACCAGGGGTATATTTTGATCTCCAGAGTCTTTCTATCTTCGGAAGAAAAAATAAATAAATAAATAGTTATTTACCTGTAATCACGGCGTGTTAAGCCCCGATTATGAGTTTAAATAAATTCAATACTATTCAACCATTCCAAAACTCATATATGAGATAGACGCTACTTACTTTAAAAAATCAAATACAAACTACATTTGCTTTCAAATCAGTATTTACAAATTGAATTTCCATGATGATAAAATGAATGGGAGACCGCTCAATGTTAACTTTCAAATTATTTTATTTGACGAGTCGACGACATTTGCTAAAGTATTTATATACAAGGGTAACCAAGAGCATAATGTGCATAAAATGTTCCCATTAATTACATTAGTTTTTTTTATTTAATTTCAGTACAAGAATAAAAAAATAAGTATCTGTTTCAGGATTTCAAAGACGAAGATATGGATAAATACTTCCGCCAGTACGCACAGTTAAATCTAAAGGCTCCGATGGTTAACTGTCTGCCAAGTCACAGCAGAACTCTGATCCACCAAGGCGATCTTCGTTTCAAGGACAACATTAATCCCAAAGAGGCAAGCCTTGCATACAACGGGGTTAATAAAGCCACTAAAAAATGTTGCTTCGAATTATTAATAAACACGTCATTTATAATAAAATAAAATACGTGTTTTAACTAATTTAACAATCATGTTTTAGTGGCAAAATATCATTATATTATTATTCATTCGCTCGCGTATTCTGGGGTTCGGATGCATCCGATAAATTTATTTCTAATAAAACAGCAATTTGTAAAAGTGGACCAGACGGGTACTTCAAATATTTTCTGTTATCATTTCCTCGGTCGGATCCTATTTGCTATGCAACATTTGATCATTTTATAGCAGTCGGTAACTGCCGTCCAATTATTTTTCTGATTTATACACTGTTACACAGTTCTTAGGAAAATATAAGGAAGGGTATCATTTTAAATCAACAGTTCGTTTTTAGCTTATCTTCTTATTGCGTGATTTTTCAACCATAAAATTCTGAATCTGTTCTATTTCCTCTACGTAATGTTTTTAATAAACTATAGATTAGAGTAATATTTAGGTATATAAAATAAAATTATATCATTAGCAACCTTTTAAAATATTTTTCCCAATGAAACATGGGTCGTAAATGTCAAATAAATGTTGAAAGTTCTATAGTTTAATAGATGCTTAATGTTTTTTTTTTATAGCCCATGTCACATTGAGAAAAATTTTCTATTTCGCTGGTAGAACACTCTTTAAAAGGATACTAATGATTTCAATTTCAGTTTATATATAAGACATATACATAACAAAATACATCGATTATTAAATACATTACACAAATTGCTGTTATATATTTGAAAATATCATGCAATTAAATGCGAATGTCTCAACTAAATATTGCGATTGTAATAATGACAAATATTGCGATAATTGCAAATAATTACGTACACATTACTGTTGTAGATATTTATTTAATTTATTATTGTGCACATAAAACAGTATCTTTTATTACAGATCGAAGTTCGCGTCGTTCTTCTAACTGATATGCTGTTGGTCTGCAAAAAACAATTATCCAAGAACAGCGCATACCCATTCAAGCTAATTAGGTAATTTTCAAAACAAAAACATAACTTAGATACAATTACAATACTTTAAACTTTATCTCAGTTTTACAGCATTTCGAATGCGTTTTGCGAATGTTTTGTTTCCTTACCTAGCAAAGCTTTGCTTTTGCTTTGCTTAGGCCTTAGAAAGATACTGTTTGTAGGCCTAAATATATGGTGGACAAGTTGCTGCACTTCCCAAAATGTAATCGGAACAGCAAGGAGATATCTGCATTGATATTTGTAATGCTTGATGATGTCGGCTCTGCAACACATGCGTTTTCTCTTTCCGAGACCAACAAAGATCCTAATTCTCAAGGAGGACTCAAGGTAATAAAAACACGTATAAATATTTCATTATTGGTGTATCTATCTATATATAATAATTGTAGTTTTCTATGATTATTTCCTTCATTCACATTAAAAGCAAATTTTACTTCTTTGGACTAAAATTAAAATTGCATCTATTTTACGGTACGTTTAATTTTATAAGCAATAACCTTACTAATATCTGTATTTCAAATAAAATGGAACGTTAATGTCAAGCCATTTACCAAGATGCAATTTTGTTTTTAATAAAAGGGTATAAGAGATTCTTTTGTGAAAAGCACTTTACTAAGCTGGGTGAAATATAAATTATTTGTTTTTTGAATTTATTGAAAGAAAAATAACTCTTATTTTTTCTTAATAGCTGTGGGAACAGAAAGTGAAAGAAGCTAAGTTGACTTATGAACTTGGCGTATGGTTTGCCAAGAACCCCTCGCGTGATCTTTCTGAAGTAGAAATGGACTCGTCATCGGATTATGGTGCCAGCGGCGCCAACGGCACTAAACCGGTAAATGATGTTTTTCACATCACCCTAATATCATCACAAATTTTAAGCGAAATACAAAATCTGCTTCTCAACTCATTTGTACTCTTTTGTAGTTGTTGCATTCAATTTTTTGAATGCAACAACTACAAAAGAGTACAAATTTTTGTTAAGATTTTTTTCTTTTCAGATCAGAAACTGCAAATAAAACGTGATATCAATTTATAGACGTACGATTCCAAATTTAAAATAAAAATATTCACAAAATATCAATTGAGATCGCTATTTTTTGTGCAACAGATAATACTTTCATAAATACTAATCAATCTTATATCGAATTCCAAAAAAAATTTCATAATGTGTATATTTACATGTTGACAGAGTTCGGACGACGTGAACATTGAAAGAGAAGCTCGCGAGCGTGTTGCTGCAATGTTACACCGCAGCATGGGCGCATCAACCGACTATGATTTCTCACAAGCTTCAATGACCACAGACTCTTTTGATGGTACGTAGAATTTTTTCCTTCGATTTTTTCCTCTTAGATACTTATTTATTATTTTATTATCCTATGCAATGAAGGAAAATAAGACTACATTGAATATTTTTGAAAGATTTTATTTGATAAGTATCAAAAACAACGACATTTTGAAATTATTATTTTGTCGCTCTATGCCATATACGCATATCATTACATGAAAACAACTAAGGCTATTTTATTATATTCTTCTTTATTATTACATTAATAACAGTTTGTACTACGATTGAGTCAATCTCAGGTCTAAACGGCTTGAGATCTTTATTATGTGTCCGTATTTATAACCCATATAAAGCGGTGATCATAATTATTCTGATGGTTCTTTAAACAAACCTTGCCGTGGACCATGACTAGATTAAAAATTACGGAAGAAAAATAATGAGTAATGTCCGATTTACAGTACACACTTATTATTTATTAACAAAAAAATACATGGCTATTATAAAAGACCAATAATACCATCTTAAAACATTAAAATAAACATCTTGTATGCAATTTTTTGCAATAGTTAGACACTGTTTAAAAGACAACTACTAATTTAAAACCATCAGTCAATCATCAGAGTAAAAAAAATAGCTTCCAAGCTATTTACAGTTGCATTCCTATGGTATAACAATATTAACCCAGGAGAGGCATCAGGCACTAGCGCCGGGGCGAGGTCTGGCGCTCACAGTCTGCGCCACCCGATGCACCGCAACTCCACCGGCGGCAGCTCACGCAATTCGAGGCTGTCCAGTTTCCATCAGTCCACCAGGTAAGTGTTCTATCACATCTGAAATACACAACAACTTGGAAGTGTTAAATTAACATAAAGTGTATTTATTATACATGTATAACGGTAATTTAACAAAGAAACATAAAATTCTAAGTACATAAAATTTCCGTTACATATAGACAAATTATTATATATATTTATATTATATATATTTAAAACAAAATATAAAAATTATAAAACATAAAGTTATTAATATCTGAAGTTGGTAATAGAAACTAAATAAGCAACCTTTTTTACGAGATAACGTGAACGTTTTCCCCTAAGAAATATTAATGAATAAACACAAAAAAAAAATCTGCCTTATATTTAACACAGTACAGTGAGCAGCAAAACTACTAAATTTTTTATTACATTTTAACGCACATTACATTGGAAAATAATCTTCACTGGTAAAACCTCAAAGTCTTTACTAAAGGGAAACTTTTTACATAAGTCGTCTGCTTAGGTGCCTCTATCTCATTCGTGTTTTTGCCGGGAAACAGTTGTGCTTGAATAGCTGTGTTTCGGTTTGAAGGTTAGCAATGAAATTACAAGGTACAGAGGCATAACATCTTAGTCCTTAGGAATGGCAACGCATGAAGGGTATTATGGACGACACAAATACTTTATTATGTTTATGTTACTGTTCATGTCTACAAGCGACGGTTTATACTTTCCATCAAATAGGCCGTCATAAGTTGCATAAAAAACACTTCCATTAATAAAATGCTAATACTCTGTATTTGTGTAGAAGTGCCGAGATAGAGACAAAGGCACCACCGTCTAAAGCTAGGGCCACCTTCAAAAAATCTTCCGCCATTGACCATCATCAACAAAAGATATACTAATCTTACATATTTCTATCATTCAACAACAATATGCGAGTTATAGGGTTTCAATCTGAAACATAAAACAACCTGTTACAAACTTTGACACAAAAGGAGACATTTCCATATAATGAATACACCTTATTCTATAATAAGGCTACATTTTAGGTATTAACACCAGGAAATACCATTTACTAATACATATAAATATACTCGTATGTACCTGCTTATTATAACTAAAAAGTTTTTATTTTCATTAGTTTCTTTTTATAGTATTTAATAAATACGTATTAAAATTAATTATTAATAAATAACTTTAACAGTATTGAAACTTTACTAATCATTTACGGCGTTGTTACTAATAACAGGTTTTAATATAGAATTAATTTATGGTTAGGGGAAAACGAATAAAAAAAAGAAAGATTTCGATTTGGACACACAATTCGAAATATGTGCCTAACAATGCAATTATAAATCAATTTAGTCAATGGCATAATCTGTGCTAACTGTATAAATTGTAGATATTTAATATTATATGTATACCCGTGAGGTACTTGTAATCTTGAATTCAAATCTTCAAGTCAAAAATTCATATAATACTTAATATTGCTTTATAATACTCTCGTGTCCATTCGTGTATATCAACTAAAAAATATTTATTTATTGACAAGTATGAGAATAGGGTATAATTTAAATATCTCTCTTATTTTTTTATTTCTTTTATTTTGGCACAATCAATCAATTACCTATGTAAAAATCTACAACAAATGTTGAAACATATTTAATACAATAATAAAAGTTTATGATGTTGGCATATGTACCATACACATAGATACAGAAGCAAAAAAACTCCTACTAACGCAATATACTGATAACAAATTATTTGAATTTTCTTATATAATTATCAAAGAACAATAACAATAATCACAATATTTCTTTTTTAAATCCATTAGTTTTGGATATTATATTGCATATTACTTACCTACCACCTTTATAACCGATTAACTTTCTACTGTTGAATATGAATCTCTTCATAAAATGAAGCTGTTATCTCCCTAAACAGATGATCTGGAATAGAGTTTCAAGCTTTTCTCTTTTTGCACTAGTATATTATGCATCGTTCCCTAAGGCTCCGGTTATCTTTGCAATGGAAAGGAGTGGTCACACATTGTATTCTTATTCCATCAATACAATTGCTCTTTCAAGCGTCAACACAGACCTTGCTTCTAAAAAGAAACATAACAAAAGTCATAGGATATAGTGGATTGGATTACTCAGGAAGCACAATAAGTATATTATTTATCAGTAATGTCCACTATTTATATGTATCATAATATTAGTCGTTAACTATCTAACGATGAACATAGGCCTCTCACATAAAGGAGTAGTTACCACGCTTGGCAAGAGAGTTGGCAACAACAGTTAACGTTTGATTATATTATAAGAAGGCCACTACTGCTCATCCCAAAACATTAAGTTCCATTAATCGCCTCTTATGACACCTACAGAAAAGAAAGCGGTGGCCCATTCTATGCCGGAACCACGCGGCATTTATATACGAGTATATAGACAATGATCACTGCTTTCCTAAAAAATATTACAATTATCTTTTTAAAAAAAAAAAGATTATCCTCTTTTTCGCTCATTCCATATTAGTAATATAAAAAACATCGCTCCTTTCCAGCTACGATCCTTTCCCCATCAGTAAGTAGGTATTTATTAAAATTTTCGTTGTAAGTCTAATTAAGTATAACTGATTACCCCAGCGCGGCTTCCCACGACGAGCCGCAGGCCGGGCCCAGCAAACATAATTACAGAGCCGGTAGCTCCGTGGAACACCTCATACCACCTTTCAATCCTGAAGATGGTGAGTAATTTCATTTCATGTTCATGTACTTAACCGTATCTTACTAATAATATTTAAACTGTAGTAGACGATATCTATACATTGGTAACATTAAATAAAAATATATGGCGGGTCTTAATAAGCCAAATTTTGAGAATTTGTATTGCTCTATCTGTATGTTTGTCCAAAGTCACGCAAAAACAAGTACACAAAATTGAATTAGATTTTCATAGTTGTATTCCTGAAGTTCTAAATTTAAAATATAACGTATGTTTTATCTCGATATAATACACCATCTAAAAGTAGTAACCTACTGCCATATTTAACGAAGTTACAAGGAAAAGATAAAATGGATAAAAAGTTAAAAGATTAATAAAAGCTTAATCATTCGTTAATATAACACATGTATGCATCGAGTGACAAAAATATTGAAATGTCCACTAACTTACTACATATGGAATTAATTATATTGGAAGTTTAGATAAATAAATAAAAAGAAAATTATACCATATTTTTTATTCCTAAATTCTCCTTCGACTACACTTCGTCCAGTTTATAAACCAAATTAAAAACGCAAATTGGTAGTTTTAATTTAATTCTCTTTTTTAATTACAAGCCATGAAAAACTTAACTTGAGAGCAAATGACGAAACATTGTAGAAATCCCTGCTATTAGAAGTTTTATTAGACATTCTACATTTTTTATGAATAAGATGCGTTTTGTTATATTAATATAGTATAATTTTTTTAGAAACTTTCTCTCTTTTCTTTTGCATTCGTATTATCAATTTAACTAGAGTTTATATGCCATTATCAAATTATAAGCTTACATAAAAGTTAGCGTCTGTTAATTATTAGATGCAACATAATCATTATATACAAGCTTTTACAAGCGATTTCGTCTACGTAACCAGCATATGTTTACTGACCGGGATAAAAAGTAGATTATATCCTTCTTTATCCCATACAAACAAACTCACTTTTACATTTATAATATTAGAAAGGATTGAGAGATTTATAAAAAAAAATTAAACGTCTACGAAGGAAGAAAAAAAATTCTTAGAATGAAGTTCTTAATTTCTCTGAATTTGTTTTTCAGAGTAGATACAATAACTTTGCCATTTTTGATACGTAAACCCTATCGATTGCAAAAAGAAATCACAATTCTTTGAATAAAGTTAACACGGCAGGTGTTGGTTTCATTTTATTTTTCTATCGGTTGTTTCTCTTTGTGGCGTAAAAAACTGCTTGCTAACACACGAAGCGAAATCTATAAGTAAACATACAATATTTATAATGTAGAGTATATACGAAATAAATCAGTGCAGAGTATTTACGACACATCTCGTCATTTATCGGTGGGTTTTCGATTAAAGTCGTTTTTTTATAGAGCAATACATTTATAATATAGCAACCGAACCTATTTTGAAAATTGTACCTGTTGTTAAATTTCTTACCCCATTATGCGGTCAGTTATTCAGGCGGCGATGACGGCTAAGAAGAAGGCGTCCCTTCTATTCACGTTACCTTACGGATTGTGAAGGATTTTCTTTCCCGGTTATTATATAGGTTAACTCGCGTTTCATCATGACGAGGAACATTTTACATTGAATTTTTATAACAAATTTTACTTAACATAATCAAGTTAAAATAACCAACCAGCAGATGATTTAAAAATATTATTTATCTATATTTTTCAAGGAAGATAGAATTGTTATAGGAACTTATTATTAATATTGATTATTTTGTCTTTAAATGTAACTTGACTGGCTTTTTAGAATAAAACATCTGCATTAAATGTCTTTGGTATTCGGTTATATTATATTTATTTGGCACTTATATGTATAACGTATACACACAGCAATGAAAATAGTATTATATTAAAAATATTTCAATTTATGATGCGGATTATCATGTCTACAAGTATATTTACCTTCGCAAAGAGTAAATTTTTGTTCCACAAAGAAAAACAGCGAATTTAATTGTAACAAAATAAAATGATATACCAACACGTGAATAAACCCAATAAATCGCAAAACAAAATGTGAAAATTGCTTCAGAATTTACGACTTAAAGCCGTGCCAAAAATAGCGACAAATTGGAAATATTCTTTTTTTGGAAATTGCTTAATATGCGTTTAATATTAAAATATAATAAATATGGCATACTACGATTTAAGAAGTATATTAAACTATTAAGTGTAAATATAATAACATGCTAATATATCATGTATGATAAAAATTAATCTGACTATTTAATAATATTTATTAAATAACACTTATTTAAGAAGTACATACTTCTTTTCAAAAAGTACAAATAATTAATTCTATACCCATAAATAACTCACATCATTATTTTTACTTTTTAATTTCTCATTCGAACCTCCGTCGAATGCAATCTATTCAGACATCATAGCTCTATTTCTCAGCTCATATTATAAAAAATTACTTTGTGTACAAACCATAGAAAAGTGGCTAAAAAACTTGCCTATACAATTACGTATCATGGATGTGACAGCATATTTTCGCGTGCTCTGTGTATTTGTATTATACAAGATAGCTACGTCCCGTATTGTTTTGTCTCATGTTTTGTCTCTATACGATAACAAAAATATATTTACTTGTTTAGCCAAGCTCCTGAATTTTATAATAGCAATAGTTCATTTAAATAAACAAAATAATTATTTAGATATAACAGGTTCATTGAGAGCACCCAATTAAGCTTAAATAGGTACTCGTGCTTTAACTGACCAAACATAAAGCTTATCTTTATAGCTTTTGCATCACTAGAATAGTTATAAAACGATATTAAAATATACAAAAAAAAAATCTCATTCTAACAAAGCTAGCTGCAGAATCAGCATTTCTATTGTTTCTTTTTATTAATAAAAAATAAAACGAGCCATTATTGCTGTACAGTACTTTATTGTAGTAAATCAAAATAAAATATCATTATAGTACTGTTCAATTATCTTGTATTTAAATTATAACTAATTATTAATTTATAATCATACAGATATACTAAATTAATTGCCAATAGATTGGAATATAAATTATATTAAATCATAAATCTAAATATAAAAAGTAACTAAGGATAATATAAGTATAAATATATGAAATTAAAACAAAAAATTGAATAAACTTATATGATAGCCATCCAACATATACAACGATGTCTTTGAACTTCAGCAGTGTGCGTAGGGTGACTTATTACTAACAGACGGGCTTTGTTTTTATACTTGGCATATTTATTAAATATTATCGAAATCGAAAGACAGATAAAAACATTAGACAATACATACATAGGTCAATGAGTTTAACCTATAGGTTACTTACGAGTACTTGCTTAATACAAAAATCTTTCTACTCATCTATTTGTTATTTTATGTCATTGTTTACTAAATATGCCACGTCTAGTTGGTATACCGTGTTGGATATGCAGACGATTCAAAGGTATGGTAATTTACCATATTATAACTTTTTCAATATCTTTGGTTAGATATAAGTATCTATATGCCTGTTTACAAGAAAGTTTCTCTAAATATACTTAAATATTGAAAGTTTTATTAAAATATAATTTTGTTTACAGCTGTAACTTCGATCACTGTGAATGTGGTGAGCGAGAGTGAATCGGAAACTGTGGTCCCCGCACAACCAGCGCCGCAACCAGGGGTAATTACGAAACCAATGGTCTATTTCAATAGAATGTAATGAAAATAAAACAAACGAATAATTCACCTCACCTTGTTGATGATTAATCGGATGAATGTTATCGATTTGTTACTAATTTCATATAGATATAGTTTCTCTAATAATTTCAAGAATAGATAGATAGATACTTTTTATTGTTTCCTCCAAAAGAATACATGTTTTCTTTTCAATTCAATTCTATTGAAACAGACTATACTAATTTCCAAATTTAAATTTATAATAATTATTAATTATTATCAATTTAAATTTGGAAATTCAGATTTTTTCTAAGTACCGTAATAGTACAAAGGAGCCCTCGTGGTGAATAATAATATATTTTATTTAAGTTAATTACGAGCATTTTAGAATATTCATATTTTTTATGATTCTACTGCCAGTGCAACTTTGTCCGTCCATCCATCTGTATATTATCTCAATAATTACTATCGACGCCGCTAATGTCCTTTAGGGTTATAATCACAGTACATATTTTTATATATACTATGTTGTAATAATCTTCTCCTTCCGGGATGTTAGGATGGTCGTTTTTTAATCACATTTAAACAAGTAAGTAGATTTAAATAAAAACTAGCTCGCAAAATGAATCAGTATTTTATCCATATTTATCTTTATAATAAAAGGCACGAGCCTACTGCGCCATAGACGTCAACAATTTATATATATTTCTATTAACTTTTCCAAACCCTTTCAATAGCTCCGTGTAATCACTTGACTTGTTATTTAATTTTTAATTTTACTAAAAAACTATATATTTTCTTCCACTATCCTTCATTTCCTGGTTTGTTGTACCTTATTACGTAAGAAAAAAAAAGCCATCATCAAAATAATCATCAAATATGGAAATTAATACATTTTATTTAAAAAAATATACAAATTGCTATAAGTATTAACATAATATACATACGAATATATAGATACAAGATTTTGTAATGAATGCTAATGGAATGGTAACTCTGCACACATTAACGACGTACGCTGACGAGGCACCAATTAGTCCATTGTGATGAATACACGTGGAATTTAGCACGATCATTTCCATGGGGGGCGACGGAGCGATCGACTTAACAGAGTATATTGGTAGCAATGGACTAGTAATCCAAATTAGTAACAATCCCTTTTCATTCATACATGATATTATCTTTATCATAATCTTAATCATAATTTAATCTTATCTATTAGAATTATCTATATCCATACTTACAGCCGTTAATTAAATTTACATAATTAATATCAAATCTTAACTTAGTCTCTTTCTCTATATCTTGACACATTTACACATTTACAAATTTTAAAGTTGGTAATCGATGTTTAAAAAATCATTGTTGGAATGCGACAAAGGCACGCAAGTATTGTTGTATGTACTTTGATTACTATAATAGCATAGTACGAACTTATCCCTAAAAGCAAGGAGATACATTTAAATAGGTGTCCATAATTGTTGAAAATTATAATTATGTATCTATTATCGCTAAATACGTAATAGTCGTAAATATCTAAAATAAAAAAATAATATTAATAAAGAAAACTGTTTGCACACATTTACAACAAGATAAAAGTAAAATAAATAATTGAAACATTCTTATTCTCGTAGAATTAGCCATCATTTTTAAGAGGGTCCTTCGTTCTTATGTTAACACGATACTTAACCTTGTTGCAAGCTTGAGCATTTGTGTTTTATTACATAATAAGAATTTATTCTCCGGATTTATATATTCGACAATACTTTACCACGTCTATATTGCCGTGAGGCGATTAAATGTCTCTATACCATAAATGCGTAATAAAAAGAAAGAACTAATGGCCATCAATATAACGTTCAATGCCGAATAAACTGACATTGTATTATTTATGGCGTCGCTTTATTGAAAACGTATAGAATAAATAATATAAAACTAAATTTTTTCTACCCAACCCCTCTAGACACGTGGTCAACGAATCTATTAATGTAATATAATATCACTGGCGCGTGCATGCAATACGAGTACAATGAGACAGCAACGTCCAGTATCTTATTCTTTCTTAAGCATATTCTCAATAAAATGTGTTTAGGTACCGAGTTAATTTTACCACTTATCTAGACAATACCACTTAATAACTATATGTCGATAAACGATATTTATTTCTATTATCAGCCTTCCAAGCCCCCGTCGCCGAATAAGCTGACTCTACGCAGCTCGAGCTCCAGCCACAACACTCTGAGGGTGCAGCCGCAGAACAGCGCCATGGCATTGGTGCACAGCCTGCCGGACCTCACTATAGATCCATCGCCACCGAGGCCCGTGCACCCGTACGTTTTCGTTATATATTTGTTTAAACTTCAAAAAAGGGGGTTCTCGATGTTACTCTATTTAGGAATTTGAAGTTTGAGTAACGATGGATGTATTGAAATTAGGATAATGTGACGAAAGAATTTTCATTACATATTCAAATCTATTGTTAAATATGGAAGGGTATAAGAATCAACAACTTACAAGTGATGAGAAATTGATTCGAAGACCACCTTATGTCGTATCTTTACTTTATATAATTGTAAACTAATTTTTCAATCGAAACAAATTAGTAACTTCCCTCGTATTCTTAAATATATTCAATAACAAATTGTACAATATAGAAAAACTTTGCAGGTATTTTATGATTCAACCCCGGCAGCTAGAAAACACAAAAATCAAATATCATTGCCCTCTGAAGCCATTTATTCCCGTCCTGACGGTCTAACCCTTGTGCAAATCGACGCCGATCAACATATGAATCGTTTTCTATAAGCCCTTTTAAAATGCTAACCCTTCAGTCAGCAATTCTAATCAATATTACCTACCAATGCAAAAAGTTAATCGATACTTAATGACGGTAACCGACATGTGAAAGGGTTTATAGGTTCATTTTCCAGCCTTATATTTTTAGTATTTTCTAAGCAACATAAATTGGAAAAATATGCTGACAGACACGCGAACTAGATATACATTACAGAATACTGTCAGTTCAGACTCCAGATAATTGAAAAGAGATTATTTATTTAAATTTAAATTAAAATATTACATGATACAACATACTTAAGCACTATATAAGCACAATATAATACAGATATCGTCATAACTTTTATGGTAACATACAAAAATACAACACGCTTGATAATAAGCGTTCTCTATTTATTGAGGTATAGGTATGGTAGGTTTGCAACACCAATGCTGTTACGAGTGTGGTACCGAATATGAACAAATCTCACAATGTTTTTTAAAAATCCTATGCATATAATAATAATGGTGTAATTATTACAATAGGACTTAATAAAAATGTAACCAAACGAATAATTAACCCGACTATAATGCAGCCTGCTGATGGGCGATAGCAGTACAAACAAAAAATCGATTATTTGCTTAAAAATTTTCATTTGTTACTAATTTCATTAAGAGAGTGGTTCTTAAATAATTTCAACAAAACTTGCAATAACCTGTAGTGAAACAAACTATAGCAAATATTACTTAGTTTATAAAAACAATCTCTATAAAGCAAATTCTGTACCCACTTACTATGGTGTTAGGTCATAATTCAAAATTCAAAATTCAAAATTCAAAAATCATTTATTCATGTAGGACATTTTAGCCGCTTATGAACGTCAAATTTTTACATTATAATTTTATTTTTTTTCCTACCGTCCAGTTCGGTATATAGATCCAATTGAGAAGAACTGGCAAGAAACTCAATTGAATTACTTTTTTTTTAAAGCCAGTTTATTTACAATGTATATTTATATAGGTGTCTATGTCTAACATTAAATGAAAATTCAGTGCATGAACAACTATTGCCATGCACACTCGTCATTCAAGTAATCGTTTAGTGAGTAATAGGCTTTGCTCAGTAAATATGATTTAACAGATGTTTTGAATTTATTTAAGGGTAATTCCAACATATCCTTTGGTATCTTATTGTAAATTTTTATACCTATTCCCATAAAAGACCTATTAACTTTTTCTAAACGATACTTGGGGACAGCAAGTTTGTCTTTAAATCTAGTATTAATATTATGAATATTGCTGTTTTTTGGAAATAAGTCAAGATTTTTATGAACATATAGGATATTTGAATATATAAATTGAGAAGCAACGGTGAGAATATTTGCCTCTTTGAATTTCTCTCTTAATGAGTCACGACTCTTCATACAGTAGATCGCTCGAACGGCACGTTTTTGTAATATGAATATATTCTTAATATCTGCCGCTTTTCCCCATAGTAATATTCCATAAGAGAGTAAACTATGAAAATAACTAAAATAGACTAATCTAGCAGTATCAGTATCAGTGTACTGTCTAACTTTACGCACGGCAAAAGCTGCTGAACTTAGTTTCGCTGCAAGGCTTTGAATTTGTGCACCCCATTGTGTTTTATTATCTAGTGTGATTCCTAGAAAGACAGTAGATTCTATAAATTCGAGAGATTCGTCATTTAATTTAATATTGCAATTAGTATTAAAACTTTTAGACAGAGAGAAATTAACACATTTTGTTTTTTTAGCGTTTAACATAAGATTGTTAGTTGTAAATGTAAATGTAATAATATAATTCAATGAACTGCGTACTTTATACTTGACATAGTATAATACTCCCATTTTAGACCACTATTAAATTTATGATGATTAAAATCGCTATGTTCCTTTGCGAAGAATAATCTCAAATTATTTGTCATACTCGTATTCTGTTTCGATGTTTCCTCCCACAAACGCTCAGGTAAATGATCTCCTTGTTGAGGTTTTTCTAAGAGACTACAGCATGGGATTTTTTCAAAAAAGATGTAAAGAGATTTATTCTAGGTAAGTAACGCGCGCGTTATAACCCTAGTGTTGTAGGCCCTCATAAGTTACGATAACCTTTTAGCATCAGTTGGGCCGATTGCTTGATTACCATCTCAGTAGTATAAAACAAATTCAAAAATTCAAAATTCAAAAATCATTTATTCATGTAGGACATTTTAGCCGCTTATGAACGTCAAATTTTTACATTATAATTTTATTTTTTTCCCTACCGTCCAGTTCGGTATATAGATCCAATTGAGAAGAACTGAACAAAAAACTCATAGTAATAAAACAAAAAAAAAATATTTCATAATTACATATAAACTAGTTTCTAATATGTTTGACAAAATACAGGCATGCCAAGTATTGTATTCAACACAATGAGATCAGTTGACAATTGTCTTTAACTATCCTATTAGGAATTATTAAAAATCCATAAGTAACCTGACGAATGTATACATAGGCCCAACACACAGTCGGCATCTGAGAAACTGTACCAATCGCATCAGGAGTTGCTGCAACGCAATCGCTTGTCTGCATCGCAACATCACCAATACCTGAGCCCGGACCATCGCGGCACCAGTTACCCACCACCAAGTCCAACCAGGTATTTTTTTTAAATGAAAACAGAATGGTAACCCTGTCTACGCTCGTGACCTATGGTGGTGGATATACAATGAGGGATAATGTATAGGAATGAAATTAGGTCAATTAGCCCACCGTAATGAATACATCAGGAAATATCCACGATTTTTCTACAGAAGTCCACTTGAGCTCGTCTTTATATAATGGAACTATATTCACAATTAAAATAAAAATAAATTTGACCCATATTTTTGACAAAAATTGTTTAAATTCATAAATACTTGCCTAGGTATATTATTAACTTTCAGATTATTTTCTTTACCTTTTTAGAAATCGGGATCATCATTGTCACTTCTAATTTCTTTTTCATTACAGGGCATCATTAAAGCGCGGATTGGCATTTTCGTATTCATTCAAGAACCCACCGCTCTCTAAGATGGGACACGTCAACAGTCAGTCACAATTGCAGGCCGAAGCTGGCCCCTCTACCAGTCAACAAGCAAAAGTAAACTCCATGTTCTTACCTAGTAAAACATTATTCAAATTTAAAATAAAAAGAAACAATGTTATTGAAAGGTCAACTTATAAAAAAAAATACAGATTTCACATCCCGATTAAAAAAAAAAACAAGGCTTAGGCTATTTTAGTTAAACATACGTTAGTGCATTGGCATACATTATCTACCTATTATTGATAATAAAAAATTAAGTTCACAAACTAAATACTTATTATTAACCAATAGTACTATTTCTTATACTTTGCTATTAACCTGTGTTTGTATAGGCACAGAATGAAAAGGCGTCAACAAGTGCCCCAGTAGCAGGTCCAAGTTCAAGCAATGATAAAGGAGATAAGAAGTCAAAACATGTTAGCAGCAGGTGAAAAACGCAGTGATTCCTTTGATTGTTTCCCTATCTAGACATGACAGTTGATATTTAGATTAATAACTATTTTTATTATGGTTTTGGGCGTCTAACAAGCTTTTTACAATTCATATTTGTTGATCGATTGTTTGGAGAGTGCGTTTAAATAACAAAGAAAATTATTTGTTTATTTTTTTGTTCCATTTCACCCAAGAATTAATATTCTTTTTATTATTATCACCTCGTTAAAATAGTTTTCATTATTCACTGATCCGCTGCACATTATTTATAAGCGCATATTTATCCTGTAGGTGTACTCGTACTTTTAATCCACATTCATGTACGAGTAGTTATTTGTCTTAATACAGTCACAGTAACATTATGCACTAATAACTATAAATAATACCTACACGATATGTGAAGGTAATAATTATTTAATCAGTTTAATAACATAAAAACTAAGACTATCATAAGTACTAAATAACCTATATAGTAAATAGGAGTTATGAGTTTTACACGGTCCTTTAATTGTATTATCACCATCACTAAACGGTCGCTTAAAAATTAAATACCAGTACGATACCGACGTGAATAAGAACCAATATCTATTATATAAACGCACATCTCTATCGCAGAGTTTCTCAACACTTAATTATTTAATTAAAACAATTTTACATAATATTATATATATCGTGAAATCGACATCTCACTGTTCAAATAGATCAGGATGCCTTCTAAAACAGAAGAGAAACAATGCAATCTGTGCCAGTATTTGGTCTTTGTAATTTGGCTCATTACCGTTTGTCAGTTCCTTCTTCAGCTCGGGCGGCTGGCACTCCAAAATCGAGGGATGACAAATAAGAGGCTGGCGGGTGATGACGTTTACAAGGCAAGAATATTCATCTAAATTCGTAACTTATCGTAGTTGGCTCAACTTACGCCTGTCACCTCAACTAGTGTAGTATAATAACCTCTGATGAGAGGCGTAGATTGCATTAGCCCTTCGTCATTATTCTTTATGAAGCTTTGTAAATGGCAAATAATTATAATAACAGTAGATATGCAATAGCTAGTTTTTCATACTCCCTTCAGATGACATTATCTAGTTTAAATATTGCTTTCTGTTGCTCGTTTCACTAATAGTTTTCTCTTCTACTAAATTTCTTCTTTTATGCTGCGATCAATTTTAAACTGTTTATACAGAAGAGCACTAATGGCGCTCGACGGCAACTTATCATCAGCGATCACGATGGATTTTAGGGATATATATATCTAATAGGAAAAATTTAGTGATATTAATTTCAAGTTCTTAAATCCCGAAAAAAATATTTAATAATAAAATCAACCACATTTAGTTTTTTGTGAAATATTACTTAGTTTATTGTTTTTTTTTCTTCATAATTACGAATTAGTCATCCCAAATTTTATATAAAAAATAGTACTCGTAGAAGTTTTTCTTCCCAAAGAATTACAACGTTTTTTCCATATATAAAAAAGACAACGTGTAATAGGTACCATCAAACTTGACTTATGACTAACTAAATTTTATTAGTATGACCAATACATTTTTCTGCGAATGTAGGTAAGTATTCATTAAATAAGCCTGTGGCTGACCTCAACGTAATCTACATATATTATTTTTGACATTATTGACTGTAGAGGTTTGCTCTATAATCCTGTCATTCAACTCTAACTGCATGACGCTCTACGATATTGTAAATTTTAGCATTTGTACTACTTGGACTCGAATGGTCCGGTTAACGATCTTACCTTCCCAATGATGAAAAATAATTGACTGAAGGTTTATGCCCCAATGTCACTACACTTTTTCTTTTCATTTTTTCTTCTACTTTTGATTGCAAATTGGCTTTCAGTTCCTCCAATGGAAAATGGTATTAATAGCCTATAAACACAAACAAGCGCCATGGATACAATATTAGTACCTTCTCGTGTTATAATGTTGCCGCTCCTAAGATTTAAACTGTTATACATATCTCCACTCTTCAACTGAACATAGCCATACAAGCACAGTTGCCTTAGCAGTAGAAACACAAATGGAACGAGGTACTCATGCAGATTACTTCTGTATATACGAGTATGTACCTCTGAGTAATAATTGTCCCGGGGCATATGTATATATGGGTATATTCTATTTATACTTAGACATTAGCTTCATAGTAATTAAGAAAAGTTTGTAGTTCTCTTATCGAGTAAGGTTATATGATCAATAGTTACTTTACGCGTAAGGTCACCACTGTCCTACAATAGCACATAAGCGCCAGTGAGTGAGTGAGAATGACGTGTCCACAGGAACAAGGGTGGCGGTTCCCTGAGCCCGAACCGCAAAGAGGATAAGGGCGACTGACAGCGGCGCCGGCGCAGGTCGCGACATTGAGTGCAGAGGATTAGATCACAACTACACAAGCTTTACAGATGGTGCTGTCGTTGAGGGTTCGCCTGACAAGGCCAAAATTAACATTTATTAAAAGATGCTATATTTGATACAAAGAAGTTTATATGCCCTTGCGGTGTTAGTGCATAGTTTCAGCATAAAAATGAGATGTGATGGACAATGGAAATTATAGTTAAAAATATAGAGTATAATTATATTGTTTATTACAATTTATTTTTGGTTTGGAAAGATACAAAATTATTGTAAAATTTAATTGATCATATTTTATTAAGTAGATTAATTAATTTATGAAATGTTGAAATTAACTCAATGAAAATTATCGAAATATTTTAATATTGTTATTGATTATCATCATATATATATATATATATATAAATATAAATTATAAACGATTTACATCTATCATATTAGAAAACATTAATCGTAATATAATAGAGTACTTTAATGTTAACGCTCACATAGTCAGATTTGACCATTATTAGTGAGTGATTTTATGTTAGCTACATAATGAAAATGTTGTATTTTGTGAAACAGTAGCCGTTTACTTAGATGTTTTAGCCGTTCAACAATTCAAAATAAAAAAAAATATATCGTACTTTCTAAGCTACCAACGTCTACGAAGTAGAATTAAGTAACTACATGGTAAAACCTACATTCCTACATTTAAAGATGACTGTACATCATCACAATTCAGTATTTCTACTTGCTATGTAATTTGTACCTGTCTTTAGAATTCCATATTTGTACTATAAGGATTTTATACCAAACTTTCTTTATACCTATACCTGTAGGTACGGAACTAGTTGTTATTATATTTAATAATATGTTCAAAATGTAACTTATTATATAGTTTTTTAAGATGATGAAGAGAGACACTAATAGGAGCTTGCAGTTATTGCGTTTCTATTAAAAATACCATTTTATTTTAATGTTAGTGGCAGTCAGGAACTGCAGTAACTACTAAGTACATTAAAATACTTTCACGTTTACGGACTCTAAATGAGACAAAAGTTTCGTTGTTATTACAACTTGCACCATTGAGTGTCCGTGAACGCTTTAATGTTTACCTAAATAAAACCGCACTAATAGATATAAAAGTTACATCGAATCGAACGAGTATCCTATAGTTAATTTAATAGTTCAGGAAAATATATGTTAATTATAATACATTGATGTCAATAGGTATTATAGACCACTACATACACGTAGGTATGTTGTCGTTGTGTCATCTAAAATTAAACATTTGTAGATACAATAATCTTATATACTGTCAATATTTGTTTCCTGTTTACACTACATATATAATATAAGAATAAAGAATATTGAATACCTATAGAAGTTGTAAGCATGGCAGAACTATCAACTGCAAATTCTATAGAGATGAAATATTTTAGTTTATCATTTCCTTTATCGATGTTGTTGAAGTTGTCTACACTTTAATATTCCAGTTACATATATAATTATTAGCTCAGCTTTGACGTCGTAAAAACGGTGTGTATTTTATAGTTCGATTTTAAAATAAGGTTTCATTCATTTCCATCGTAAACGGCAACGCATTTAGAGCGTTCATACGGATACTTACAAATGGTTGCAATTATCTGTCAATTATCAAAAATAATTGAACAATTTTCAGTACTTCTATAATTATGATTATTTCAAAAAGTATTCTGATAACAATCAGAATTATTAATCGTGCAATAAGAAGTATGAGGTTAGTAAACTATTACTTATTTGAGTGTTAATAAGTTATTATTGAAAATTTGAATTTTGATACCAAAAAATACCTACTTAAAAACTTCATAAGTAAAATATTAACTAACTGCAATGTTTTAGTGTTACATTTATATATAATTTTTTCTATAATTAACATTTAAGTTACCTATCTGAAAAAAAAATTAAGTAATCAATTTGGAAAACTGAACAGTATTCAATAGTTTCTAATAAAATTATGGACAATTCCGACGTCGCCACAGTGCTGTAAGCTTCGGTATAAATGCTTTTAACCACGACAATTATAATCATCATCTAAGAGATTTTAAATATTTACCTACTTTATAAAATCAGTAGATGTCTAGCATAAGAAATAATTATGATACCTAATAGGAAAGCTTGTTAAACTTAAATATTCCATCTCTCTTTATTACTTCCAATTGTGACCTGAAAAATCTAACATTCACATAAGTACTTGTTGTTAACGACATCTATATAATTATCATCTTGATTAATATCTGTCGTACTATCTTTATCGATGTAATAAAATTAAGATTTTAAATGATATACCTACCGATAGACAACGAGTATTATCTACTGGCTAAGCAATGAGGAGACTGTCATTGTCCACTCATGGCTTAGAATATTCACACCACCATTGATAGGATTCTGTAGAACGAGAGAGTATTGTTCGTATAAGAAGTCTGTAGAGCAAGAGAGTTACCATCTAAATCTCTTGCCGATATAATAAGATCTTTTAGAATAGAATAGATTTATCTATGTGAATTGTTCAATGTGAGTTGTTCAATGTGAGCTGTTCAATGTAAGTTGTTCAATGTGAGTTGTTCAATGTATGTTATTCTATGTGAGGTATTCAATGTATGTTATTCATGTTGTTACTATATTGTATGTTCAACTTTAACGGATAAAAATTCCTTGTATGAACAGGTCATCGAAATAAAAAGTTTGACATTTTTTGACAGCTTTTTGAGGGTATAGGTCTTGAAATATGTAATTGTACATATTTTAGTAACATGACAAAGTAAAAATATATAAAACGATTAATACAATCGATAAGGGTATTAATTTCACGTAGCACGTCCTCGCGAGGAGGGAAGGCATCCTGCTCTGCCTTCGGGATGTCGCTCGCGCACCTCTCAGATTCCCGGTAACATAATGCCGCTAATACGGCCATATTAGTATGCTTCGTCCTAGAAGCCCAAAGATACTGACATTACCTGAAACTTATGTATGTGGAAGAGATTTAGGGCGCTCCACATCTGCCAGACTCTTGGGCCGTGTCTGCCATGTAGAAGGGATTTACGGTGCTTCCACACCTGTCAGAATTTTGTTCAGAATATTCATCAAATTACAATTGTCACTCTATGAGTGCTGACATTGGATGTAATGTGCAACTCCTTCCATGCTTTTGCACATGTAACAACCATGATCGAACCTCTCACCAACCAACGTGAGATCATTTATCATCGGCCTCTCACCAGCCACCGTGAGATTATTCAACATCACCCTTTCACCAGTCAACGAGATTATTCATTATCACTCACTCACCAACCAACGTGAGATTATTTATCACCAACCTCTCACCAGCCAACGCGAGATTATTCATTGTCAACCTCACACCAGCCAAAGTGAGATTAGTTATATCCACTCTCACACCAGCCAACGTGAAATTAGTTACCTTCACCGTCTCACCATCCAACGTGAGATTATTCGTCACCAGTATCTCATCTACCAACACGAAATAATTTGTCACAAGCTACGTAAGAATATTTATCACCGGCCTTTCACAAGGCACTATTAGGTTAGCTATCTCCACTCTCTCAACAACCAACGTGACATTATTCAACATCACCCTCTCACCAGCCAACGTGATATAATTTATCTCCACCCTCTCACCAGCTAATATGAGATTATTCTTGCCAATCTCTCACCAGTCAACGTGAGATAATTTATCACCAGCTTCTTACCAGCCAACATGAGAGGATTTATCACCAGTCAAAGTGAGATTAGTTACCTTCACCCTCACATCAGCTTACGCGAGATTAGTCATCTCTACCCTCTCACCAAGCAACATGAGATTATTCATCGTCTACCTCCTATAAACCAACGTGAGATTAATTATCTCTACCCTCACACCTGCCAACGTAAGATAATTTATTACTAGTCTCTCACCAACCAATATGAGAAAATTTATTACCAGCTTCTCACTAGGCAACTTGAGACTATTTTTCACCTATACTTCACATAACACTAACAGTCTGTAGCCTAAAAATCAGATAGTATTGGAGTCGTTCCAGTGACTATTCACTACATTTCTAAGCGCTCTCTTTGTGGTAACCAAAGACTTACACCAATTCCAACACCAGCATAGATAAAGATTCTATCTAGTCACTCTTAAAATTCATGATGCCCTAAATTAGATTCCCCAGGTTATTATATGTATAGATATTTTGAAATTGCTTCCAAGATTGTTTTAGGTAATATGCCCTACCTTCGCTTGCTTACTTCTTCCTCTCCAAATTTCAATCTCAAACAATATCTTCGATATGTCAACAATATCTTCAATATGTCAAATCTACTTCTTAACATGACTTCCTTATGTACTAAAATAAGAATGAGATGGAAACTGAACCTAGTTCTGGAGTTCAAGACATTTGAACCTTCCGCATATTCCGTAGAGGAAAGTAGCCTGATGACACTGATTCCAATTCTGACACAGTCACTACAACTACAAGACTATCGTGACCTTGCCAATATATTTTATCTCCACTTCCTTGGTTTTAATTATTTATGTATGTTGCAAGTTTTTGGGTAAAATACCACCGTTGTGTTAGTACATGTACGGGATGTGATACGCGCACTCCTCAACTTCCCGATGATATAATGCCGCTTACAATATAGAACTCTACATACTCTTACAATACGTTATTTTTTTAATTGGCCTTCATGTTGCTCTTTTTAAAAGTTCTAGTTTTCGATTTTGTATGATTACAAATTATCAACATAGGCAATATACTAACATAAAGTTTAAGATATTGTTGCTGTATTTGGCATAAATGGGCCCCCCTCCCACACCACCTAATTGTGTTTCTACTGAAAATAAATCAAACAAATCAACTTGACGTTCACTATAGATAATTTTTAAATCATTTTACAATTATGTCTTCGATTAATACTAATTAGATTACGCCGATTTGGTATGTATTATACGGCGTAAAAAAACTATCTATAATTTAAATTGTTCATTGCAATGATGCAATTAATATATCATGAATTTATCATCTGCAATCAAGATTTATGAATACCTTAATTGCAAACGATAAAGCACAGTTTTGTTTGTATCTAAATAAAAAAAAAATAAGAACATACCTACTATACGAGTATCAGGTGACGCAATTGTTGTTTAAGTTTTTTTTCGTAGTTGATATTAATGAACAAAACTATGTGCACTCTTTCTGTTATGAATATTTACTAAGAACTTATTGCAAAAAAATATATGGTTGCAGATTGCAGGGTCTGCATATTTTCACTTCTTTCACTCCCACAAATGGTTGGTACTTATTCATACTGCATTTCGTAATTTATCTATTCTGAAATGTAACCAAAATGTTTCATGTAGTTTCTGACTATCAATAAAAATATGGATGTGATTTTGTTTTATTTGTAATTATACTTCTTATCTGTTGAATAATAACTATCGTGAGTTATGACTGTATTGTAATTGCAGACGGGCATCCCCGAATTTAAAACAAGAATAAAACTGGTATAAAAACGTCAAAATACCAATGAATCTGATTATTTTTCTCAAGCAAAATGACAAAAAAATTTTAGCTTCCTATACTTACAAACATGGGGTATTCAGTTATTACGTTTGCCCTACTTAATATATTACATATATCTATGGCATGACTAGATTGTTAATTTTAAAGATTTTAATTTCACCTTAAATTTTTTTACAACTGACAATGGGAGAAAAGCTGATGACCCTCCTGACGAAAAGTAGTAACCGGCTCTTGTAAGACATGAACAGTACTAGACCATCACGAAATATTCAATGACGCCCATAACACCCCTCATGCATTGTGGTTCTAAAGTAATATGACTCAATTGCTAATGTTAATTTTAGCTTAAGTAGTAGCAGTAAAGTTGGCTTGCTAAAGAATTTACGCGGGCTGCCAAGAGAATACGCCGTTCACTTCAGTCCAGCATTAACATAGTAAAACCCACGTTGAGACATTATTAAAAAAAAATCAAATATGTAGGTACAATTTACCTGCAATGGCATGGCGTTAGGTCTAGTTAGGCTATAATTTTACTGGTAAATACCACCCTGAAGGGTGGAAAACCACAATAACTATGCAAGCACAATTGCTTTACGGCAGAAACACGAATGGGATAGAAGTAGATAAACATTTTATCCTCTGAAAACAATTTTGTCCCTCATCTACTCCGAGCGACTTTAGTACCTAATGAAGTCTGAGAATGGATTTCTATTGTACTCGTAGTCAGTATAAACCCACTGAGTTTAAACCACCACAGATTAAATTATATGTAATTTATACCTACTTTCTCGATACTTAGAGCTATTAGATATTGCTAGCAGTGTTACTTACACTGTACATAGGTAAGTTATCTGTACCAAAATGCACTTAGTTTTACATCCAAAATATACAAAATGAAAAACATGTATTTTCATAATGCGAAATCTACGTGTGTCACAGCAGCATACCAGCATCTAATAATAAATTTAAAATAGTGTTCAATTTAATTATCCAACCATAAGATGATTTATATCTCTAACCAATGAGTTTTACTATGATATTGTTCATATCGAAAAAATGGCAACGGCTTGCAATAAAACAAACATATTATCTATCAAAACCTTCTTGATCGCTAAGAATTCACCACCGGCTTTGTTACCAATATACTTAATAACTTTATAATTTACGAATTATCGCTAGTCGAAGTTCCTTGATATCATCAACGTTCATCAAAATTCTAAGGTATTTCCAGCAATCTCACAAACTCCAAATTTAGAATTTTAGCATTTAATCTATAAAAGAAGGAAAAAATTAAATATCCTGATATTTTATTATTCTGTATTGTTATCATTAAATGAAAAAAAAAATATTAATAAATAATTACATTCATTTCAAATAACGTATCGCGCTTGTAGCTAACAGACAAGACATGTTACCCGAGAAGAAAAGTAGCGTAACCTACAAAAAGAAATGAGATCCCATCAAAAACATAAAATGTAAGTAATGTCAAGCCTCGCAACATAGAACTTTGTTGTTCTTTCACGACAAAAAGTTACGAAATCTTCTGGAAAACCAGGTCAGTTATTTCAGTAAGGAAAATTTTATTATAAATTGTTATCCAATCAATTAGTCATCAACATTTATAGTTACCGTATCAATATTAGACATCTCTATTTCTATAATAATTATCATAGCTTAAACAATTACAATTAAAGAGATAAATTTAAAGTTTAAAGCGTGATTAGAAGAAAAACATGATATAAATTCAATAAATTTGTTTAACACTCCTTTTCTTTTTAACACGATACATGACTGTGCCCAATGAAATCATGATTATAATTATTGTTTAATTTCGCTACCATTAGTGTATGTACGACAGCCAACACTCATAAATTAACTACTATTATTACTAAAAGTATTACAACTCTCCATGTTAACCACCAATTTCCGACTGCCATTTCGTCCACGTACGTTTTTCCACACGTATTTCACCTCTAAACGAGACATCTTCAAGCTAAATAGATAGATCAATAGATCACTGCTTGGAATCTAGTGGTAACCTTTCGATACCCAAAGCACTTTTAACTGTAACTGCGCAGTTTGCGTTTAGTTAGTAACAAAGTACAACGTAACAAAGTATTTGTTATCAGCATAAGTTTCAGACTTGATCGGCCCACAAATATACAATAAATTAAATATACAACGACTAGAAATTGTACAGTACTGTGTACAATTTCTAGTCGTTGTGGAGTACTAAGGATAGTATCAGATTAAAAGTATTTTTATTTTGATTTAAATACTTTTTCACAGTCTCCAAGTTTCTCATATAAACTGAAATGTAATCCTTTTAGACTTGTATGTATTAAAGCAAACTTCATGTCAGTTTCATGTATATGATCAAATTTCCTGTGCAAATAATGAAATTCAAATTTTCTTTATACAAATAGCCTTTTAAATCAAACACAAACACTTTTAAATCGTCATGTTTTTATGAATGGAGGATTTGGAAACTTGTTATCGGTTAAGAAGAGCCCGTAAGAAACTCAACAGTTACTCTTTTTAAATCTCTATTAATATTATATTTATTTATTTTGATGTTTAAATCGATAGGATTTACTTTACTTTTCTTTTATTATGACTCACATGTACATCCAAAATATCCTTCGGTATCTTATTAAAACATTTAATGCTTAGTCCTATAACTAAACCTATTACTTTTTTTCTAAACGACACTTCGGAGCAGCAAGTTTGAATTTGTATCTAGTATTAAGATTATTGAGATATACAAAATGTTTCTATATTTAAATTATGGAAATGATTTCTCTCTTAGTGATTATAATAACAAATAATGATACAAATATGCTTTGGATATGGCTTTACCCTATGATAAAATTCCATAGAACAATATACTATAAAACTAACCAAATTAATCTGGCAGTCTCAATATTAGTACACTGTTTAAACCTGCATACACCATACGCCATAGAACTTAATTTAGTTGCAAAGATTTGATCGTGAGGACACCCCTGAGTTTTATTATCAATAGTGATTCCAAAAAAGACAGTAGAATCTATAAAATCAAGAGATTCGTTATTTAAATTTACTTTAGAGGTGAAATTATGATTGTTAGAAAGTTTTGAGAGGCTAAGCGCGGAAAAGAGAGTCCAATTTACATTACATTATGATTGTTAGAAAGATAAAAATTAAAGTCTTGTTTTTTTAGCGTTCAACATTAGATTATTAGATGTAAACCAATGCAAGAGACGCAGCAAACCACTATTTACATCATTATAATCAATTAATCAACTTTAAAATGAACAATACCATGCCACATCTATTCTGTATGGCAAAAGTGAGATCATTACTATAAAGCAAAAATAACAATGGCCCCAGAATAATATATAAAAGTCATATTAAGCAAAAGAATAAACCCTTGAGATACGCCCATTGATAAAAGCGACCCATTAGATGTAGCGTAAAGTAAATAACTTTTTGATTTCTGTTTGCTAAATATGGTTTGATTAAATTTAAAGTATTGTCTTTGAAACCTAAAAAAGCTAACAATTAATCATGATGTACACAATCAAAAGATTTAGATAGATCATAAAAAAACATCGCTACCATTTTATTTTCCTAGTACACTGCACTTCGTACTCCGTAGTTGATAGCCCTTTAATAGAACCAAATTTACTATAATGCATTAATTCGTTAAAATTAAAATAATTAACTGGTAGATTTAACATTTTTTTAAAGATTTTACTCAGTACGAGCGGAATGGAAATGGGCGTATAGTTTACTAGATCACTTTTAATCCCATCTTTAAAAAGCTGTATAATTTTACTGAATTTCATTAGGTTTTCCTAATCTAACAACGGATTTCAACAGGTAAACAGCAATATTTCAAATGGATTTCTTCCCACGAACGCTCAGGTTAAAGAATAAGCTCTCTGTCGAGGTTTTCCCTAAAAACAACAGCATAAGGTACTTCAAAAAAAGAATAAAGAAGTTTCTTCAGAGTACAACGCACGTTTAATTGCCCCATGGTACCACCATCAGGTGGGCCATGTACTGTTTGCCATTTCAGTAGCATAAAAAAATGTCCTAAGATTATTTTGAAAAGATTGCTTCTATAAAATCGCTTTACTGTACTTATGCAATTGTATCGTTACATTTATATATAAGTTATCTTGTTTTATCCCCTATATAGTATAATGCAAATAAAGTATACTCGTTCAACAGTGAAAGGCGCGTCCAATGTAGTGCAGTAATTTTTGCGCAATGCTGAAACAAACATACAGATAGACAGAGACAAAGTATCTAAAAATTATTGTTTAGCATCTATTGATATTATTAATTATTGATAATTAATTATCTTTTTATTAAATATTATTATATTAGTTATCTAGTTATAATTACAAATCAAAATATTCTTGTTAATTACTTTATACTTACCTTTAAAATAGAAATATTTACTCTATTATAGATCTAGTCTATAGTATCTATGTATATAGATTATATTATAATATATTATATATATATATATATATATATATATATATATATATATATTGGATGTTTTATTAAACTATAGTTTTCAATATTAAATATTAAATTTGTGTTAAGAGGATTGTTGTAATTTCAGACAAAAATAAAACATGTAAGGCATAATAGAAATTAAATACATCAAAACGATTTCGTACACTTTTATTAAGTATTAAACCTGATAACTGGCTACATAATTCGTACCTATCATGGCAATATGATTAACAACCTATTAAAAAATATAAGGAAACTTTTTTTTTTTTATTTTGCGATAAAAATCTCTAGGATAACTCATTGAACTTTTCACTTTAAATGATGAATTACTGGTGAAAATTCCTTACTTGCTTATAATCAATAATGAGTTACCTTTTGAAACAATTTTTCGTTAAATGTATAAAAAAAAACTATTGATAGTCTTATAAAGAATATAACTATAATCTTTTTTATTAATCCTATTAATCAACTTTAAAACTACAGAATTAATAACCGAAATCCTTGGTGTCCTCTTAAGGGCATTTATACATTAGCATACCAAAGTACCGCAACGTTACAATAAAAATAAATTTCGAGGCGCCATTTCTCTTAAAAATTAAATTTTATATCAAAGCGAAACTTTTATTGTAAAGACCAACATGTGCTAATTTTTTTTTTTAAATTTAAGTCTAAATTATTATAAATTTAGGTTATAAAATTATCAAATTAAAACATTAGAATATATAAATAGGTTCATAGAAATGGCATCTCAGAATTAACCCTATTGTCTGTCAATTTTCAAAAACCAACATAACAATTTCAATGTTTCTGATTGATTTTTTTAAAGGTAAAAATGAAAATATTAAACAATGAAAATTTGGATGACTAAAATTGAATTACAAAATTCTGAAATTCATATGAAGTAGATGCAAAGTTTTACGCCCTTGAGGAAATGTTTTAGAAGTGATACTAAACATTTTTCTCATAGAAACTAATTATCTACAAAGTAAAGAATAATATAATATACAAAGCATTTCCAAAAGATCCCACAAGGTGGTCCATTCTCTGACACGACCCCTGTTTCTAGGAATTTTAAAGTAATAATAGAAAAAAAAAAACAATATGAAATGTAACAATACATAATATGAATTGCTAGTTTCATATTATGTATAATATTAAAAATTTACAATATAGGATAGGTCTGTTTCCCCGCACTCATTGTCGCGATCAAGGCCGGTGCCGCTGTCTGTCGCCCTCATCTTCCTTGCGGCTCAAGTTTAGCGACTTTCCGTCCATGCACCTGCGAACATGCCTCTTTTTTACTTACTTTTACGTACTCTATACTTAAGAGTCAATAAATAGACAGGGTAGAAATGACACTCATATACTTTCCTTTCGGAATGCAGCAATGCCGCCAAAATGAACCCTTCTTCTCTTCAGAATCTCCCTGAATTGAGAAGGTTGTCACAAATCGATACTAATTTAACAAATCATTTTATCTGACGCGACCCACACATACAAATGTGAGAAAAATACATTTTTACTGTGGTGTCTGTTACTTACAAGCGCTAACTGATGTAGCTCATAATAGGACGCGAACTGTCAACGCGCCATCTTAGTCACTGTTATCGACTTCCTATGAGTGTCAATTCTACCTAAATATTTTTCATAACATAACCATATTAGGTCGTATGGTAAATTTCATGCGTAAAATATTGTGAAGTGCAAATTTTATGTTATGGATTCATAAAATATTGCCAGTAATTTTGTAGTTTTTTTTTTTTATAAACTTAGGTAATTGTGTCGTCTATTGCTATATTATTTAATATATACATTATAACGATGTGCATACATCAATATCTGTATAACACAACTCAATTATTTCACAAATAGTTATAACGTTAAATGGCAAACAAATTGACTGTCCATCTAACAAAAGATGATAACCATCTATAAACATGAAGAGACAGACGACTATAGGTACCCGACATACTTTTAACAACAATAGGCGTAAATAATTATCTTCACCTGGATAGTGTCCATCTGTATCTCGACGTTGTATAATTTTAGAGTTCCGGGCCTCTGCTTGTGCCGCCATATCATTCGGATCAATCTCTGGAGCCCTGAAAAATTTAAGTTCACATGCATTATAAAGAAAAAACACATCGAATATGTACAGTGATTCAAAATATTATTGTAGGTCAGTTAATATATAGTGTAACTAAGTTATTTTGTTTAATTCTGATACTATTAGGTACCAGAATCAAATTTAATTAGTGTTTATTTTACCTAATGGTAACAAAATTAAATAAATCAATTCTAATCGGGCTTCCGCAATATCAACACCTAGTTCAATAAAACATTGTAGGTATCAAAATTGCTAACTAATGTCAGCTTCCAAAATAACTTAGTCTACCATATTTTTTTTAAAAAAGCATGATTAAAGGCGACCTTTGTTCACTTTTTAAAGAAATCGATTGACGTAGGACAAATGTAACTAGCTATCTAAGTTAAGCTAGTAATATATCGTCGGCCTAATTATCAGAATGCGTAAGTCCTTCTAGATGAACTTTACAGGAGCAAGTAAAAACTGTTTATTTTTACTATACAAGGAAATTATTTCAATGCAATTATGAATCTAATAGTAAAAATAATTAAGGAATTTAATTTCACTATTTATTTTTGAATTAGCAAACTCGATTATTAAGAAAATGGAGTTACGAGTTTTTTTTTTTTTGCAGCAGTATGCAATATTACTTGGAGTTACGAAGTGCAAGTGGTGTTAGGACTTTCTATTCTTTTTATTAATTACTTAGCTTATAACATATTTTTATAATAAAAATCAACAATGTTATTACATAATACTTTTTATTCACCTATATTTGTATACTGTGAGTTTGTTTTATAATAAAAAGCTGACACATTCGATCATGGGCTCAAAAATACTGACTGCAAATCCATAGTAATTACTTTGTTGTTTGAAACTGTGTCCTTTACCAATTATATACGAGTGTATTGTATTGTTTATTCTTCTGATGGATTGACATCATTAGTACATGTATCTTCCATTTTTTCTTTTGTCTTTTACTTAATATTAGGTAATATTTTTATCTTGTTGTTAGAAAATTACAACATACTATTACTTTCCAAAATACGGTATTGAATATTAATACAATAAATGTTAATTTTAATTAATTTATTGCATTAAAAGACACGCATACTCCTTACTGCATAGGCGAAACTGTATTGAAGTTCGGAGTTAAGCATTTTGCGTATTACAAAATGGCAGTTAGGTTGTTTTATTATTGACTCATAACAAATGAGCTGTATTTTTGTAAGATATATGAAGTAATTCGGTGGATAGACTTCAAAATACTCTATTAGATGGCGTTTAGTCTAATTTAGATATTTTTGGAGTTACGCATTCTGATAATTACACCGACGATATAAGATCGTTACTTTATATAGAAAAGAGTCCTGCTGTGATGCAACTGTGTTCAGTCAACACAGTGTGTTTTATAAAATTACAGGGTACGAGGGCACACCAGTTTTCAGCAATGGCAACACATAAACGATACTATGAATATCACAGTGTATCTGTGATGATAGAGTGTGTCTGTATCACCTATAGTTGCCATTTTCCATTAGGGGGACCGTCAACTTGTTTACTATATATTTTTTTGTATCATTCATTCTAAGTTACGTTAAAAAAAAAGGAGATTGTTTACCAAACATGCCAAATAGAAAGAGATTATTATATTTATGAATACTTACTGTAGTGAGAAAAAAGCCGGTGCCATAGACAAAATGAAACCAGTCAGCAAATTGTCTGTACGGGTCTGGCACTCAGGAGACGGGGCCTTGTGTTTATATCCATAGCGATTTATACCGTTACCCAGTGGAACGGGCACAGGGTTGATAGTAATTCCATGAATCCCCACATTAGGAATGTCCTGAGAATTGTAAACACTTTAGTAGTATACATAAATTTTTGCATAAATAGATTTATTTTCAACTTTTGTTATACTAAGTGTACCAAAAGTGTATAAATATAAAATATTTCGAATTTGATAACAAAGGTTATATTTTTTTTATACCACTAAGTTGGTAAACGGTCACTGTAGCCTATAAACATTAGCAACATTAAGTGTGTCACGATATAATATATATATTTCATAAAAAAATTAAATAGGAAATTGCAAGATATACTTTTCAATAACTCCTGTCGAAAGAAAATAAGACAGTCTAAAAATTGGAGATTACTGAAAAAAAGATATAATTATATATATGTGTATTATATATGTGTGTGTGTGTGTGTTTAATACTTACTCTTTCAAGAAGTAAATTGGCCATTGGTTTAATAATGACCATATGGCGGATAAGTTCGTCAGGCCATATTACAAATATCGATTTACGCTGTAACGCGGCCTCTGCAGCGCGCTCCTGTAATTTGTCCAATATTATTATAGTATGTGTAACAGTGGCATAAAGGAAGGGGTAAACCTAAAAAAGAAATCAATGGACTATGTGATAGACAATATGACCAAAATAGAAGTGTATGCAAAAGTGTCAACGAACAGAGATGAATAAAAGAAAAAAAAACATAGCAAGCAAACTGACATCCCACCTGATGAAAAATGGTAGCCGTTGCTTACAAACATGAACAGTACCGTAGGCATAACATAGTATATTGTCCATAATACCGTTCATGCGTTGCCTTTTCTGAGGACTAAGGTGTTATGACTTTGTACCTTGTAATTTTTTTGCCATATCTTTAAATCGAAACACAGTTATACAAACACAACTACTACCCAAGCAGGGGATTGTTGTACAAAATATCCAAAATCTCAAAGTTTATGCAAATATTTAAAAAATTCCAAAAAATATTAGCATATTCTATGATTAACGTTTTAGTTCACTAGCAGAGTATTTTTTAAATAAACATTCCAAATTATTCTCTTTTAAAAACTGACAGAAAATAAACGTAACAGTCGACTTATCCACATTTAGCCAAATTTATTGTAATCCAAATGATCCTATATCCTGTATCCTAACACCGTTTGGTTTGTGATGACGTTAAGATAAACGTCGTTACAAGAGTTACTTAATTGTCCCACGGTTGAGGACGATTTTCTCGCCTTGAAATGAATAATAAAACTTACAGCTACAGAGATTACAAAAGATTTATTCGCTACGTTGGTAATTCATAAAATGGAACTGTCTCGTTTTTGTAGGAGGTTATAGCTTACTCTCATACTAGCCAGATGGCTATATATAAGGTTTCATTTTAAGTTTGTAATGAAATTCAATGAACTTACGAACACATACCTGTACACTCAGGTCAGTGTCATATTTATTAACGAGTTCCTTGGCATTGCTGACGAACCATTTGAGTACCTCAGGCTCACGCCATTTCGGCGCCGTGAATTTAGTGTAGATCAGTACCAAATTATGGAGGTTTTGACTGGTACTGTAATGAATCAAGTTTTATATCGTTATTATGATGTTTAAAATGGCAAACAAGCTGACGACGCACCCGATGGAAAGGATGCAATATTGCAAACAACTAAATACGTAAACACAAACATTCGAACATCTTAAGTTTAACTAATACATTCAGAATGTGAGTAAAATAAAATATCATTATATTGTATATGCACATGATTGCTTTGTGAATGACTTAAATATTTTTATATAAATAGTGAATACAATGGATGTACTTGTATGCAAATACATCGCAAAATGCTGCGTTACATGACGACCAAAAAGTGCAGTATTTTTGTTGTATGCATATTACTTAAATAATATGTACTATACACTATTCACAGCTGATTTGTTTTTATAAGTGACTATACCATTATTGATAACATTTGATTAATTATAGTTTTTTAATATCTTGTAATTTTACTTATATAAATGTCGATGACAGTGGCACACGATAAAGCTGTAAGGCTCATAATTTGTTTCATTTGTATTATAACATAATACATCGTGTATTTAATAAATAAATAATAATTCACTTTTAGAAACTGTTGATTTCTTTATTATTTGCATTTATAATTGATAATTGTTAAAAACATATATGTACAAATTAATATCATGTCTTACCTCTGTTGAGCTATTGTCGAAAATAGAGGATGTGATGTAATCTCTGGTTCCTTTGTATAGGTGTGATGCAGTAAACAGACGACTGCTGTTGGAAAACTCAACATCGCAGTTTGTAGCAACTCATTAGCGTGCGAAATGTCACCTACAACAGAACGCCTTGTGAAATTCGTGAACGTTTATTATGATAATGTAAGGAAAATATCTTCTTTAATTCTTTAACTGATCACTAGCCATTCTATATCACTCATATCCAATATGCCTAGAGTGTGGACCCCACAGTCTATACATATTGAATATGGGAACTCTATTTACTAAAAAATATCACTCAAAGAGACTTTTTTATATAATTTAATTGTAAATGTTAAACAAGTTTGTAACATGATAATCTACATATGTAGATCAAATGTTTTTTATACCTACATAAACATGAACAATTTCTTTGCAGGTCACAGAATATATGCTGTAATTTTATATTATCTCAAATCAACAAAAAAGTATGTATGTAACAGTATCGAATTACAAACTGAGACAGACATGTTAGGATTATTGCAGACATGTTTAGAGCTGATAATTATTAATTTTTAAAGTCACCAATTTGAGTGAAAATTGAATGTCCTAACTTATCATAGGATAATTTTCATATTAATTCACAAGAGAAAAGTCTAGAGGTAAAATTAATAAAATAGTAATTATAACATTATAATACTTACGTTTATTTTTTCTAGCCACATGGAAATGTGCCATTGCGTATGAATATTGCATATTGATAAGCAAATGGGCTTGCCGTTCTGTTTTCCAAAAATCAACAATGTCGATAAGCCACTGATGTTCCCTGGCCCTTAGCGCTAGTGTGTCAATAATGAAAAGAACTCCTAAAGGATCACTTGGGTCCAAGTTAAGAAGCAACTTAGCCAGCTCTAATGCAGTTCGGTGACACATGGTGTTCGTGAGCATATGAAGATATTTAAGTACAGCGACGTGGAACATCCGGTTCTCCACATAAACATATTCCAAGCGTACTTTACTCTAAAATGTAACATACTTATCTTCAACTACAGCTTTTACATGTACAAAAGTAACAATATATTTACTAGGGATAATAGGTACTTATTCAGTATGTTATTTATATTTTATAAATTTACAATTTGAACTGGTAAACAAAAAATAAATAAGTTTTGGAAATAAAAACTGTCGCAATTTTCAGTTGGAGTAAACAATGTCTACACATTTACAAATTTTCATCAGAAACCATCGAGAGATTTTGAAAATTAGCATGGATATAGTTTTAAGATAATATATATATATAATGTAAAAGAACCGACAAACAGACAACCTATAGGGAAGAACTCCATACACATAAACGAAGTGTATAACGACCCACTAATAGATGGAGTATACTTCACTTCAATTATACTAAGCACTAAGTTTAAAAAGTAACAATATATATAAAAGGAAGTAATATATTTAATTGATTACTCAAAATTTATACTATAGAATATAGAAACTATCAATTACTTTTGAGTATTAACTTCTACTTTTAAGACTCAATAAAAGCCCTATATATGAGCATGAGTATAACCAAATGAAATAATTATAATACAGTATGATTCATTATTCAATGGGATTTTATATCGTGTTAATAACTAAACATACTTACATCACTGAGATAAAACAAAGGATGTGAGACATATTGCATATAAGATATGGCTCTTTCAATCAGTTTCCTAGCTCCACTATAGTCTTCCATTCGGAACATCATGTCAGCTACCTAAAATTAAAATAATACATATGTTTAACAGGCAAAATTATTTACACCAAAGCATAAGATAGACGGACAATAAAAAAATCAAGAGGCCAAAATATAAATTCGAAAATCGCTCATGCGTTATAAATAATCAAGATAACAGAACAATCATAGTACAGATGTGATATGATATAAATACTTTATATATCCGATTATTAGTTTATAAAAATTAACAATATATGCCAATAACTACAAAGTGAATTGCATCTGCCCTTGATCTCTCTGTTGCATTTTTTAAAATCACTTTCGTGTACACCAAGTTTGCAAGCATAATATATACAACTTCTTTCACCAAAATTTAAACAGTAAGTTAGCTGTATAAAGATTACACGCATCAATTACTTGATAAAGTTACCAGAAGGAGACTGTACAGAAGTCGTCTGCTTGGGCGCCTCTGTTCCATTCGTATTTCTGCCGTGAAGCAGTTGTGTTTGCATGTCAACAGTGACCGTTTACCATCAGACGGGCTTTATGCTTGTTTGCCACCTTTGTGATATAAAAAAGTCTGTTTCGTTTTAAAGTATGGAATAAAGCAATAAAATTATAGCATACGGAGACAGCACCTAAGCCCTCAAGAATGACAACGCATGAAGGTTATCATAGGCGACACAGTATACTCTGTCATATCCATAGTACTGTTTATTTCTATAAGTGACGATTACCGCTTTCCATCAACTGGACCGTCAGCTTGATTGCAGTTATAAGTTGCATAAAAAAAAAACAGTATATCAAATACATTTATTACTAGTTTTTGCCTGCTACATGAAAACCGCATCCTATTTTGTACAATAAGTTTTGAATGATGCCGGTACAAACTTACAAAAAACATATTGTTCGCTACTGTGTACGCAAAAAATTCAGAAGTAAGAAAACCAATAAAATGAACGACTTCTTGACAGCACATCAAGATAAAACATACAACAAATTTTAAGTTAAACCTTCGGAAATACAACTGTGTAAAACTAAAACTGAACTAACAGACAAAAAATTTTTAAACTTGTGTTAATATCTATTATTCTTATTACCACCCCTTATTAATACTCTTATTAAAACCCCATATTTCATATTATATATATCATTTTTATAAAATATGTCCCATGTACAATCATCGCTTAGTTACAATTTTATTTTATATCAGTAAGATTCAGATCATCGCATATTAGTGAAACAAACCCATTTCTATTAAAATAAGCACAGTAAATATTTGTCTAGCTTAATAAAACGAAATATTTAGATAATTTGCTATTTTAGATAAATTCGCAGATAATCAGCTATTTAAGACAAATTCGCAGTAGCACACTTGAGCTTTGTTTATTTTGTAATTAAAATTTAGTTACAAAATAAAGGAACTGTTGTGCAGTAAACACGGACGCAAAGCACTAAGATAAAAAGCATTGCACAACTAATTGGCATCGCGTAGCATATAAAATAATACAAGTATTTATTTTCAAGTCGATTAAAAGAATTTTAATGTACGTGTGTAATAAAAACAATGTGTTTATCGTAACAATAACGACATATGCTTACGAAACGTTTAGATTAATATTACTATAGCATACATACGTTATCGGCATATGTCGAAACAAGCAAAACTATTATTTAGCTAATTACCTCCATAACTTCTTCTGGATGTATACCTTCCGGCACATCCTCAAAAGGGAAGCCCATATTTTTGGTCCTGACAACCACCTCTACAAATGCTCGATGTCGCTTTTGATATCTTTCACTGTGATTGAAGACGAAATAGGTAATGCCATTCCTAACAGATTCTATGGTCATTGTTAAACCTGAAAGGATATTCGCATTAACAAAAAGATCGACATACATACATACATATATATAATACAGTATAAAAATACTCACCGAACTTAGTGAAATTTTCCAAAATTTGGTTTTGCACAATTACCCCTCTTTTAAGTCTACTTAAATTAGGAGTACGACCTCGCCTGCAAAAGAATAAATATTGGTATGTAAAGAATTAATATGTATTATATGTCTTTAAATCTTCTTTTTTTCCTGATTAATACAAACAGATAAATTAAGAAAAATTGTCGAAATGTCTGCAACTATTGGAAAGTCAGGTGGTGTATCTACCACCAAAGTCATAATTATATAATTTCCCAACAATACTATCACAATAATTTAATATTTATGTGTATGTTACAACATCTAACACCTACCTTCTGCGAACATCTTCTTCTTCATCTGGTCCAAAGATACGAAATATCTCATTGTTATAATTCAAGTGCCTATTTTGTACTGACATAAGATTTGATTCTGGTACATCAACAACGACTACAGGCTCTGGAACTCCTAGCAGGTCATTTACTTCCTTTAAGGATCTATCTATTTCGTCTAGCTAAAATATTTAAAACATCAATTTATATTCCACTCAAAATTATGAAACTTAATTGTAAATATATAATATTATTAATAATTAATTATAATATCTACGCCCTCGTCATACTCGATGACCTCTGACATGACACACCTGATGACATCTTTACATACCCTCGAAAGCATGCAATATATGACAATTATTTTATTTTATACTATCTTTTGCCCCCGACTTCGTACGCATAGTATTTTAAAAATCGATAATAACATATACCAGATTATAAGTACACATTAAATACAAATGGCCATATAGACACAACACTATCAGCAAACTTATCTGGACATATGGTATTTAGCTTTTGGGCTCAGGTGGTAACAGTTATGTACAAATATTAGAAATGTTCCAAAATAAGACAATATTCAAGATACCACAATATATAAGTAATAAATTTATGTATTTAGAGATCAAAGTTAAAACAATAATATAAGAAATAAAGACTTTCGCCAAATGCTATCAATCCAGATTGAATACACACAGAAATTAAATAGCCGCAAAACTACAGGGATCGGGGAGCATTATATTCTCTCAACGAAAAAACATAGTATCCCAATATTGGTGAACATTTGTTGACAGAGAATGACAGTTAATTGATGGATTGGCCTCATATTAAGAAAATACAAATCTAACATCAAACAGCATATTGGATTATTGTTCTATAAGGAACAGAAAATTTTTAAAAAGATTGTTTCTGAATATCCTAATGGAAGACAGGTGTGACAGATGTGTAAAGATGTATGTAAAGAACAAAAAATAAAAATTAATTATATTATACAAAATAATACTGATACTCGAAATTATCTTTGTACCGTAATATCATCTGAAGGATCTTTATCAGATTTGCGTCTAGGTTTTCTTTGCTTTCTCTTTTTCTTCTTTTTCTTTTTTTCTACCTCTGTGGGACAATCGTCTGTGTTTTCCTCTTCTTCATCCTTAATGTCCTGTTCCTCTGACTCTGATTGAGAACTAGAAATTAACTATAAGCAAAAAAACGAATATTAAGCATTATGTATTAAAAAATGGTACAAGAACTTTAACTTAGGGGCAATACCCCTAATGTGAGCATGCATAATAGGTGATAAGACTGACTTTAATATAACTAGTTTGTACTCAGTACTTCATCCTTTGATGGGATAAAAAGTAGCCTATGCCAATCAAGTTCCCATCAAAACTACTTAATCCTTTATATTATTAGAAAGAATTGTGTAAATGTCCAATATAATATTTATTATTATATTGGACATTTTTAAAAAGAATTTTGATGTTTTTCCGAGAGGAATTAATTAATTCGTGAAATTAGTCTAAAAGTATCATTAAAAAAATTACATATAAGTATAAATAAAGAAAGGGAAACAACTATATAGTAATATCTATATAAAAGTGCACTGCATATTTCCTATTTTTCAATAAGCTCATTTACCCTCTCTTACTTCAGATAAAATAGTTCTGCTACTAAGTTATACATACTAATCTTAACTCATCATCATCATCATCAATCTTAATGATAACTATTCTTATTTTACAATAAATGTTAAAAAATATTACTAACGCCTTCGTAAATATTACTGGATGATTTCTTTGTTACACATAATGGTTCATAACCATCGGAATCATCATCTGGTGGTGGTAGTACATTGCCCCCCATTAACTTACGTATATTGCGAGATGACATATTTCTGTAACAACATAGCATTATTAAGACACAATTACATATAAAACACACAAGATATACACACAAAAATTGCAAGCCATTTGCTTAACTTCAGTTACTACTATATTTACATCTATAATAAACTACATTAGGAATGTCAATATTTTATAACTATAATGAATATAAGATATAAATACTTCCAAGTCAATGTAGATTATATTAAAGTTTATTTATTTTTTTAAACATAATACAGACTGCCGTGCACTGAATTTGAAATTCTAACTAATTAATACAAATTGTTTTACAGATTAATGATTTTGCTGTAATAACAAAATTATACATTCCAAATTGGTATCATGAAAAAAATTACAATTCAAAAATGCTCATAATGAAGTTTACTTGCATAAAAAATATTTTCATTCATGTAAATTGAAGCTAAAATTGGTTAATTTATCTAAATAGGTTGAGAATAGGGCTACTGATGGAATCAACTTCATAGTGTTAAATTTTATGACTTTGTGATAAGTCAGCAAGTAAGATGAATTTGTCGATTATAGATCAACTACACACTACAACAACAAATTCATCTAAAAATATAAATATAAATGGTACGCTGTGATAAATTTAACAATGTCAGTAATAAGATGAAATAGAGTTAAGTATGATAAAATTATGAATTTTTATTGTTTATTTATAAATTTATATAGTTTACCATGCATTACTCCATTTCCGAGTTAAAGTAGTCCTAACTATTTGGGCCCCTATTATATTATGTCTGCAGACTTTATAGTTGTATATAAAGTGAATAATTTATAAAAAAGTTATAAATTACCCACTTTATTATACAACATACCTTCCCCTTCATTTCCTTTTAATAATAACCACAATATTTTAACTATAATAGCACTTTCACTTATAAATCTACTTATTAAAGTTTATCCTACTATTCATTGTCAATGCGTGATTTATACAACTATTTATTACATATACATTACATACACTATTGATTTTTTATTGGTATGATAAATGACTTATGATGATTGATATAATTCATCTGTATCAAGCTCAGACCCTTTATCGTTCATCTCATATTCTATTCTCGATTACATTTTCTTAAATGATTCTGTTGGTGGTGATACTTGTCATAATTTCTCCCAAGTTCTTTATTACGATATCTAGTGGCCCTAATACTCCAATGATGTCAGCCCATTTTTGTGGAGATGGTATAACCAAATGACTCCCACCATCAGCATTGTATATTGTGACATCTGACTCTACTGTCTGTTTTGGTATATTATCTCAACTTTTCACCATCCCCCTGCTATGCATCTGGTTGATATGTCTCAATAACAATGTACAATTCTACCCCACTAAGTATCTGCATACTCTTACTCTCTTTTCCACTGTTCATTGTAACCAATGAGGACCTTTACATTAATTTCTAACATATATTGAGTGATTTATTTTGAATGAATGTACTATGTCAATGGAATGTACTATGGGTATACTCTAACTGAATTTATTACTATCCAGTATTTGAATTTTTAAATAAATTCACAGACAAATAAACTAAATACTTGAATATCAAAATTATCAAATATTTGCAAGCACTAATTCTAATCTCTGATTTTGAAGTCTAAATCAATATAATAATAATAATAACATAATTATTACTTTTACTTATGGTACTTAGAATGGCGAACAAGCTGATGGAAAATGGTAACCATTTCCTATAGCTATGAACATAACCAAACACAATGGGAAACAATGGGAAATCTTGAAGAAAGGCAATACACTATGGTCTTATGCCCCATACACTGTAATACACTGCCATATCCCAAACCGAAGTTCTATACCAAATATATAATCAGAGCTGCTTCAGAAACATAGATGGAACGCAGTTACCTATACGGGAGAATTTTGTTAAAAATATACCTCAGAATTATTTGTGAAACTGTATCTCTGACCTGTAATACATGTGCATAGAATAATAAGACTTCACAGTATAGTGTAGTGTTAAAAATTTATACTTACTATGCTAAAAATTAAAATAATATTTAGGAAATATTTATCAATGATGATGTATGAACAGCAAAAGAAAAATATTCCACAATTGAATTAAGCTCCAATAGACTTTACAAATTAATATGATTTAATGTCAATATGAAGTAGATATCTAGTTATATAGACATTACTAAATATCTTATTAATATACTTACTAAATTTTAACAAAAATTTATAAAATTTATCCACTATTTAATATGAAGACGTAGACAACACAATAAAAAAAATGGAGGATTTTTTTAATATAATTTTAGCAAAGGGCTAGTGTTACCATTAATTGCTAATTTTGCGGTTTTGTTTTGCATAACCTCAGTGTTGCCTATACCCGACAATCAAAACTTTACGCAAATTAATCGCAAAAATAACTAATTCCTATAACTATCAAAGAAAAGCAATTATATCAATATTAGTTTAGATATAGATTGATATAGTAGACAAGTAAGAGACTCACCTACGCAATATAAGCTCGAAGCAGGTTTGACGGGAGCATGAACAAGATTGGTATAATAATATATTTATTATTGTCTCCTCACAAACAATTTTGTTCATTTAATTGTTAAAAATTAAATGTGTTTTACCTACATATGAAGATAAGGGAGTATTAATAATAGGGATTAAGTAGCTCGATTATATTAGGCCTTTACATATGAAATTAGCGTTTTGTCGTACTGACCATTTTAATCTGAAATATCTCCTCTTTGGTTAAGAATTCCAAATTCAAATTTATAAATTAATTTAGCTGGAAGATTTTAGTTTTGAAAACAGTTTCAACGTTTTTATTCTGAAAATAAAAACCTTTAGAACCAAAATTTCTGATGATATCCGTTTTGGCATGGAGAATTCTCAATTAACGGTCTTAATATTATTGGACTTTCGCAATGCCTTTAATACTGTTGATTTTGATATTTTGTTAGGATAGCTAACCTTTCTCAACATATCTCCAACGGCAATTGACTGGTTTCGTAGTTACCTGTCTAAACGTCGGCAACGTATTCGCATTGATGACGTTTTATCTTCTTGGTGCCATACGTCAGTTGGCGTGCCGCAGGGTGGCGTTTTATCTCCTTTTCTTTTTGCCTTATTTATTAACACTATCACTTCGAAACTTCAATCTTCCTACCACCTTTATGCAGATGATTTACAGATTTACTCTTTAGTCTCTCTTGTTGATATCTCTTTAGCGATATCTACTGTTAACGCCGATCTGGAACGTATAACTGCCTGGAGTAAATCTTATGGTCTTGTTGAGACAGAGAAAGAGGCACAAGCTATTAGTATTGATAGTTCCATACTTATTTCCAAAATTTACTTGACCAGTCTTCCGCTTATGGTTTGCATTATTTTTGATAACACTTTGTCATGGTCTCCACAAATCTCGGAGGTTAGTAAAAAAATGTTTGCTGCAACTAATGCCTTGAATAGATTACATATTTCCTCCCAGTTAACACCAAAATTGCGCTCGCACACACCTTACTAGTACCCATTCTTGATGATGCCGTCTCATGTTATTTAGACCTCACCGAAGAGCAATTAAACAAGCTTGAGCGTCTTCAAAATTTATGTATCCGCTTTATATTTGGTCTTCGCAAATATGATTACATTTCTCAATTTTTTACTCAACTCAAGTGGCTCCCTATCCATTTTCGTCGTAATCTGCATATCCTGTTTCTTCTTTACGCAATCCTTTTTAATCCCGCTGCTCCTGATTATCTAAAAGACAGATTCTTGTTTCTCAATGAGGCTAATAATCATACTTTACGCAGTGTCAATAAACTCCGACTCAAACTTCCCACTCATTCATCTTCCTTTTATTCTAAATCCTTTACTGTTTAGGCAGTTCGCCTATGGAACTCATTACCTACCTGTATTCGGTGCGCTCAAACTCTTACTAGCTTCAAAACCTCTGTTAAATCCTACTACTTCTCACTTTAGTACTATTTTCCTGTGTTCTCTCTTTGTCTTTCTTCATCATTTCTTTTTCTGTTATATGTGTGCTGTTAAGTATGTGTATGTTATGTATATATTTGATTGTGTATATATTATGTATGTATATGTATGTATATATGTTTGTACATGATAATATTTATATAATAGTGCGCCACCTACCCTTTCTCTTTTTCTCAATGTCCTCTACCCAAAGGTTGTCTGGAAAAGATTGCTTAGCGATAAGGCTGCCTTTTGTATCACTTCTTATTAATATTTACTGTATTTGTTATTTCTCTTTTTACTGGGTGCAATAAAGTGTAAATAAATAAAAATAAATAAATAAACCCTGTGGACAGCCGGAGACCAAAATGGAAAATGAAGAATTGAAGACTATTGTGGAAGCGAAACCATCTCAAAGCATTTCAGAGATTACTGCAGTCTTCAGGGTAAGTGATAAAACTGTATTAATCCACTTGAAGCAAATCGAGGAAGTAAAGAACTTGAACGATGGGTGCCTTATAAATTGAGTGAATCGAACTTGCAAACACGCGTCGACTGCTGTGTTACTCAACCGACACAATAATCAATGGATTTTAAATCGAATCATTACTTATGATGAAAAGTGGATACTGTACGATAATCGGAAGCGCTCGTCGCAATGACTAAACCCTGGAGACCCAGCCAAATCCTGCCCTAGATGAAAATTGACTCAGAAAAAGTTACTTGTGAGTGTTTGGTACATTAAGAAAGTTTACAACTTTCTTTTTTTAATCTTTTATTTTTGTCTTTAAGTGATTTTCATTTTTGTGTATAATTATTGTTTTTTCTTTTAATAATAGTCTTTTTAATCTATTTACAAAATTATTACCCGCCTCATCTGGTATTGTAAGTCTACTTCCAGATTATAAGAATCATGAATGACTGACCTTTATTAACAGATTTCTCTTATGACGTAGATAATTACTGTTCAATATTTTGTATATTTTGTAGTTAATTAAAATTTGTTATATTTGCCAATTACGATTCTTTTTCCTTACATCTGTTTTCGATCCGAAATTTACGATATATTTTCTTATATTTGTAACCATTTTTTTATTAATTTGATTATGTACTTAAGAAGACCTTAGTACAATATATTGATCCCAACGTTTGATGCTGTTTCCAAAAAAGTTATACAAATCTTGCAACGTTGCGAAAAAAAACTGTATTTCCACATAACTGCTAACGACATATTTATCACCAAATTTAAATTATGAGTGGCACAATATACGTACTCTACGTTAGGCTGGATATCCTTAATATGTTTTTGTACACCATTATACAAACCACTCATCACACTGACTCCATCATAGCCCTACCCCACACATTTTTTTAAATCAATATTTTTGTTGATAATGTTGTCACTTGGTTGACTAAATCTACTGCGCAATGTTTGATGGCTGCTTGAAAGCCTAGAAACACTTCTTTTGCTTCTATATCAATTGGCTGTCCATTTTCCGATCTGGTTATTACTGCATAACTCACAATAATACTTAGCTGATCTACCTTCGATATGTCCTGTGTCGTATCAATTATGATGGCAAAAAACAGTGACGCTCTAATTTGTTCTAGTAGATGGGTTTCAGGTTTGGTCCCCAAGCTCTCAATCATTTCATTTTGAATTGTTGCACTCAGATATCTTGTAGACCCTAAAAACATTTAAAAAAATCCAAAGAGTCCTGATATTAAACAATTAATAATTGTAAACAAAATTAAACGATAAAAACCTTAAAAATAATTATTATTACCTTTGGGTATATCCAAAACTTGTCGCAAAATGTGATCATATCGGGCGACAAGCTCTACAAAGGACAGAAAATTTCCGTGGTATCCTTCCTGACTTAAGTCTTCTTGATGTCCTCTCAAAACCAAAGAACGAAGAGAAGCTCAAAGAACTCTTTGCTAGGGTAAGTATGATACCGAATAACCTTTGAAGAACCATTTTCCAAAATTATGCTTTTTTGCGAATTTCATTTTTAAGTTATCTTGTCGATAGTATTTGTATCGTATTTTTTTCTAAAATTCTTACATAGCACATACTTCCGAATGGCTACTCGAACAACTGTGTTGTTTAATTCTTTCTGATAAATGCTTTCAATCTCGAATTCCCGTACACCAAATATTATTCCTTTGTGAAGCAAATAACCAGCAGGGTTGATAATAGGCAGCGTCTAGTATTTTGGAATAACACAACCAAAAACGATTAACTGGCCCATATTAAGAACACGAAACGTAGTATGATTTTGAAAAACACCTATTGTTCTGGTTAATGTCTGTTGGAAAAGGTTCTGAAGACTGTAAAGGCGTCATATCAAGAATTTGACACACGAATTTGAAACACTGCAGTTACCATATTATTTGAGTCACTATCAATAGAAATATTTTGGCCAGATGTACTTGCAGAAGGCTGACTAAAAAACTTTTCAATTTTGGGCATTTTTTGTTTTCTATCTTCTCTTTCTGGGCGTTGTTTGCGTTTAAATGCACCTGGGTTTCTTCTTTTTATCCATAATTTTAGTTTTCTAATTATTTCTAAGTATTTAATAATTAAACACAATGATACGCTACAAATGTCGTTGGGGAATCCCCGGAAAAAATTATCACCGTTAGTATTACCACGTTTAACGGTAGAGACCATGAACGATCTCTTGCCCGCGGACCTGAATTAATGTACCTACTGCAGGCGACTTGCATTTTTTTACGATATTTTGCGTTATACAATGAGCTGTATCCGAAATCTATAGATTTGACACGACTTATTGTCTTAACGGATGTCAATATGAGTGGTAAAATCAAATAAAATTGAACCACTATATTGACCAGTACAAAAAAGTCTATTAACATTCGATTACTTACTCCTGATACAGCATTAATTTTTTAACCCTTCTCGAAAACTTAACTCGAATTCACAATAAAGAGCACATCGATGAATAATAAAACGCACATATCACTAGCCGTCAAATTGACAACACTGCCAGCCCATAGAAAGAATTTAGGGGAATTCCCTAGGCACTTTTGAATTTCTCTCAATTGAGTTGTCATGATAAAAGTGGAGTTGCAATCTGTCATATTTATTTTGAAAATGTGAGAAATTTCCAAAAGTTTTGTTCGATGAAGATTTTTGGAAAGCATTCGAGGGCTCCCTGAGCTTAAGGGCTCCGGGGCATTGCCCCGCCTAGCCTCTAGGTAGTTACGCCACTGGATATCGGCTATTTTTGTTTTTTTTTTAGTGCGCAAAATGACATTTGATTTATTAAATAATTAAATATACACTGTTTGTCTAAGTATTTAGAGCTTAGAACGCTATTAAAAGAGTCAATTAATTTGACAGTTAGCTAACAAAAAGTTGCCCTATTCTTAAGACTCGAGGCTCTAACTATATGGTCTAAGGATCTCAGTTTGTATGCTAAATCATTAAATGTTATTTTACAGCGCAAGGAAATAAAGATAAATTAACTTGAAACAAATCTAAACGAAGTTTTTAACCTAATTTTGAACTGTTCTTATTCACCCCGTTACAGTACCCTAATTTTAGTTATGTTTGTACCCACAAACCACCACAGACATAACTAAAATTAGGGATGCAACATCGCTCCTAAAAACATCAATATTAAAACATCGATATTAGAACATCTATATTTTAAAACATTAAATATCGATGTTGAAAACATCGAAGTTTTCGATGTTTTTACCACCATTCAAATATACATATATCTATCTATATATCGAACAAATATGCATTTTAACGAATATGAAAAAATAATAAGATTATATTAATTAAAAAAAAAACAAAGTTATATTATTTTATGAACTTTTATACTATTTATTTTAACTTTTTTATCGAAAATTGATTAAATTTTAACAGGAAACAAGTATTTTTCAAACATTTTTATTTTGGAGTTTATTTTTTGTAAATAAAGTTTAAAAATAACAATCTTGATAAACTAGTGCCCAATAAGCGGTTTCTCTCCAGGGTGATTGTCGCTCCAGCTTCTGAAAATAACCGCTCACTAGGTACCGAAGTTGCCACGATAGGCAAATAGATCATAGCTAGACTATGGAGCCTGGGAAATAATCCTTTTAAATCATCACACATCTCCAACGCATCTCCCTTTACTGGAGTGACAAGTGTCGACATGTTTAAGGCTTAATTAGTGGACTAATAATTACCTACTTACGTTCGAATAAATACACAGTTGAGGTTATGTAATAGATTAACCTTTTATTCTTTTATTTAGTAAGTATTTCTTTATGACTATAGATGTAAATCACGGGACGAAAAATGACGCTATGATTAAGAATTGTTCATAAAATATCGCTCATGAAATACGATGTATCATCGATGTTTAAAGTTTCAACATTGATGTTATAACATTGATGCTATAATATCGATGTTTATGAATAATATATCGATGTTTGAAAAATCGATGTATCGCATCCTTGACTAAAATACATATAACCTATTTTCTTGCATCATTGGTTATATACTCATCTGTTTTTAATTCCGCATGTGTAATTTAAAAATTTTATAATTTTAATTTATTCATCTCACAAGATTTTCCTGATCAGAATCTTGTTTTTCAGTTAAAATTTTATAAAATATACAATCATACTGGAAGCTTTGTGCATGGATTCCTCTTCAGATGACAGTTTCACATGGACAAAAACTACAGATGAAAGTTCTGATAGTGACAGCATGTAAGTCTAATACATAAAATTGTGATACCTCGTATAATACAGATTGCAATTAGTAGTAATGTTCGAATTAATATATTGGTTATAAAGGTTAATCATTTAAAGATTAAGTACATTTTGCTCCACAAAATTGGAAAACACAATTGTCTTGCCCAAAATCGAATTATTTCATTGAGCATGATCTAACAGTTCTAACATTCCTTATATTTCCAAATCTGTTCAAGTATTTAAAAATTATGATGGAATGAAGAAATCCATACACAAACATGAAACGAAAATATTGTTACTTTTGGGCTATCATATAAAAAGGTTAATAATTTAAAATTAATTTTATTTGATTAGTTCATATATTAGTTGGTATTTGTATTAATTATAGTGATTGAAATAATATTATTTAAACTTATAAGATAAACTCATAATTTAAAAATGCACATATCAATAATAAAACTAACACAGAAATCTAATGGTGACTAACAAAGACGTCGGTACTGTAGCAGATTAATGTACAACTTCATCATTGGATGATCTCGCACAATACAAATATTTGACATTCTCAAATATGCTTATATATTTTGGGTGTTTTCTTAGTAGTTTTCTAGTATTTGTGTCGATAGTACAACCTTAGTTTGGAACAAAATGACATTGTGTAATATATCTAATAATATTTATGTATTTTATTTTTTAAATATTTTTATTATTATTATATCAGTGCTTAATATTGCATGCATACATTATATATATATATATATATTTTTTTTTTTTTAATTATTGTATAATGTATGCATGCAATATTAATTAATAAATAAAAAAAAAGTAAATTTTGTATAATATTAAGCGCAGAATAAAGGCTTCTTTATCTTATATCAGTGCTTTACCAATAGTTGCTACAATTCGCAGACAGGTTAGCTCTTCTCTCGTTGTGGAGACCTATTGACGCTAGGAATTTCCATAAACGAGGTCTAGGCAGAGGTTTTGTGAATATATCTGCCAACTGCAGTCCAGTGTCAACTTCCTTTATCACTAGCTCTCTAGCTATAACAAGTTTAGGAACAGAGAAGTGATGGATCCGAATATGTTTAGTTCTCTTGTGGAATTCTGGATTCTTAGTTAATCTAATAGCAGGTTATCATTATCCACATTCAACACAGGAAGTTCTTTGAAGCCTACCAATTCTCGAAACAATCTAGTTAGCCAAATACATTCCTTAGCTGCTTTGCTAGCAGCAACTATTTCCGCTTCCATTGTAGGAATTGCTGCACTGTTTTTGGCTTAACCATAAGATAGGACCACCCGCATACAGGCATAGTACTCCTGATGTTGATTTTCCTGTTGTAATACAACCTCCATGATCTAAATCACTATAGCTTTCCAAAACTTTGTTCTTGTAATATTTCTTGTACAAAATTCCAGCTTCAGGAGCATATTTGAAATAATGCATAATATGTTTCACCATAATGCAGTCTGTCTCAGTTGGTTTTTCTAAATTCCGTGATACAACACTTACAGCATATTTGGATGTGTGCCAACCATAAGGTAAGCTAATGCACCAACAATCTGCCAATAATTATCCAGGATTGGAGTCAAATCACATGTTTTGTGCTTTTGTTCCACATCATCCTTAATTATGGGCGTCATGACAGGTCGTCAATCTTCCATACCAAAATGCTTCAAAAATTTTCTTGTGTATCCAGCTTGGGCTATCAGTAGGCTGTCTTCTCTTTTTTCTATCTCTATTCCCAAAAAATAGTATGCAGGCTTCATAGTGATTCTGAAGGTACCTTTCAGATCTTCAAACAATTCATCTACTAGCATCTGTGAAAATCCTGCCACCAAGCTGTCATCCACATACAAAGCTACAATAATCTTCCCTTTATCTTGTCTCTTACAAAAAGGATCTGCATCACAAGCTTTGAAATCCACACTCTTGAAGAAATCGAGTATCCGTTTATTTCAACATCTTGGAGCTTGTTTCAAGCCATACTTTTAGTAAACATATGTGTCCAGTGTGTATGTTCAGTCCATAAAGATCTCATCCAAGGAATAATACAAGAAAGCAGTTGAAACATCAAACTGCATCATATACATTTCCTCACTAGCCATGATACTCAAGATAGCTCTAATTGTTGCCATCTTAGCTACTGGGCTAAATGTCTGATAGTAATCAATGCCTTTCTTCTATCGAAATCCCTTTATGACAAGTCTGGATTTATACTTAGCAACTGTTTCATCTGCATTAAGTTTCACTTTAAAGACCCATTTGCATGAAATAGCTTTCCTATTTTTTGATAGTTCTGTTAAAATCCAACTTCCTTTTTCTTTTAAAGAAGAATTTTCACTTTCCATAGCTTACTTTCTGGACATTGTATCGCTTCTTTATAGCAAGTTCTGAGTAACCAGTCCATTTGGTGTTCATAATATAGTCATTGAACTTAGCAGGAAGTCATAATAGTCCTATCTCCATCAGCTGATGCAACAGCTCCAGCCACTTGCATAGCAGCTTCTGTCAGCAGAGAAGGTCGTTGTATTTTATCTTCAACAATATTGTGAAATCCGTCGATATCCCTTAGCAAAGCAGTGATCCGATACTTCTATTGTATCCAGTTATGGTTTTCAAGTTTGGTAATCTGTATCTTGGTAAAATTCATCTTCAGCAACCTACCCCTGTAACCACTTAAATATATTCATACCTTGAACCTTTCACCTTAAACAGTAAGGGAACTGTTCAAGGGTTGGTAGTATGAATTAGCAGATTTGTCAGTAGATTTTACTTATACAGTTTATGAAGTTGAAACAAGTAACACAATATATATAAACGAACATACAATATCACTCGCTGTTTATATCAAATAATATTTATTTATTTAACTTTTTATTGCACCATTAACAAAAATAAACAAAATATTTATACATCTACTAATTTTCTATTTTGTAATAAACAACAATCAACAATTACTAGGCAACAGTCTCAATAGGTGTCACACCACATTATAATCTTAGACAAACCAAAAAGTATTAACATTAGCAACTGCAGTTAGGCTTTGTTCATGTTTTAAGAGGGATACTGTGGCTTATTCCTCGACCATTAAGTCTCCCATTCTTTAACATCCGTCCATCAACTATTAAATTTCCTTGGTCTTCTTTTATAACATCCACGGGAAAGAAAGGAGTAGCTCATTTGTTGTCTTTTTTTTTATTACATAATAATGGAATGGTAACCCCGCCTGCGCTATCGGTATACACTGGCGGGGCACCAGTGAGGGATAATAGGTGAGGGTGAAGCAAATCAGTCATCCAACTGTGACGAATCTAACAATAAATCAATCACAATGTTTTCCAGAGGGAGCCACAAAGAGGTTTTTTTTTTATACAACTTAGAATGGCAAACAAGCTGACGGCCCACATGACGGAAAGTGGTAACCGTCGCCTATAGACATGAGCAGTATCATGGACATAACAGAGTATACTGTTTCGCCCATGATACCCCCCATGCGTTGCCATTCCTGAGGACTCAGGTGTTATTCCTCTGTACCCAGTAAATTCACGCCATATCCCAACCTTCCAACCAAAACACAGCCATGCAAACACAACTGCTTCACGGTTGAAACACGACTGGGATAGAGGTACCCAAGGAATCGACTTTTGTATAAAGTCTCCCTCCCTCGACCTGACAGTGTATATTGCTAGCAATGGGGCTACTAATCTCCATTACTAACGATCCCTTCTCCCCTATCCATTCTGTGTGAGGATCACATGGCAATATAGAAATTGTTATACAAATGTAAACAAAACATGTATCCTTATGGTCGAAAGAATGAATTTAAATACACTTGAATGGTAATAACATCAATGCACAGCTGAAACTCTTAAAGCGAGAAATACCAAAGAATCTAAATTTTTTAATCTAAATTCCTTTTATGACCTGCATAAGTAATAAGAAAGGATTTTTAAAAAATTTTTTAACTGATTAACTGGAAATTAATCATATGTATCTTCTTATATAAAAATAATCTTAATTTCAATATTTCTCAAAATTAATTCCTTAGTTGTTTGTGTCTTTAGTGATAATGTTCCTTTTCGCCAGTAGGACACTCTCTTCATAGGTGATAACGTGTGATAAAATATTTCGATTGCACCTTGTATATAAAACATAAAAAGGCAACACTACAATAACTAAAACAGATTTATTAAATATTTAAGGTTCTATAATTAAGGAACATGAATTGTATTATACTTCAACTTCGAGTACTACTATTATAAATGTGAAAGTTTGTGAGAAATGTATGTTTGCTACTCAATAATAATAATGGGTGAATGGAAATTTGGTACATGGGTAGGTTATGTCCTAACTTAACAGATAGGATAATTTATAAATTTATGTACGCGGGCAAAACTGCGGGATACAAGTAGTGTCTCAATAAAGTACTAATTAAAATACAAATTTATATTCTATCTACCTGGGCAGGTCGCTAATATATATAAACAATACTATATAATAATAAGTATTTACATACCTTCTACTTTGTAGTATCCCTAATACAAATAATAATAACAGTAAAAATTATACAGTTTGTTATTTTGTTTTCGAGAACATAAATTTATTTTTTTTATTTTTTGGTGATATAAATTGTTATTGAGCGAAAAAAATTTTTTGATGCTGTATTAATGTATACTAACACTAACTTTAAAGAATTGGATTTTGGTAATCAATATATTATATAACCAAAAAAATCTTTGATATCATCTTCCAGGCTGATTTATTACTTTATGATACATTCATTTTAGCAACGACAGGTAACCAATATCTCTGACTATCACATTACAACAAATTCAAGTGGGTTATATGACTATGATGAGCTTTACAAATACACCTGTATTACTTCTCATAATGGAATCAGATCTGAGGTGCCATTTTTCTAAGCCTATTTCTTAACTTAATATTTTAATTTGATAGTTTCGCAACTTACTGTTTTTTGGACTATTATAAATTAAATTTGTAATAAGTGACTTAGTTTATTAAAAATTTAATTCTAATTGGTCCTTGGAATAAAGATATTTTAATTTAAAAAAATGGCGCCTCAGAAAGAGCTCCAATGTTATCTTAAATTAAAAATATTAATTAGTTTTATTATTTCCAGAGATATGAAGACTATTAACAAACATCAAAGTGATTCAGACTCAAGTAAAACTTGTAAGAAAAAAATAAAAAAGGATGTTTTTGTAAATAATCATGGAAGTGATCAAGCCCTGGAAACTGAATTGAAACAAAGTGATAATAAACGGAAAACTAAACATCTAACTGATGTTAACAATAGTGATAGTCCCAAGAAAAAACTACATAAAATTGAGTTTGAAAGTGATTTGAATAAACAAAGTATATGTGAAGAATTGCCTAAATCATCTAAAAAATCTAAGAACAAGAAAAATCACAGTGATTTGAATGAGTCAATAAATAGCCATATTATTGATGGAGTTACGTATAGTAAAAAAGACAAATATACAGAGCTGCTGGATTTGGATCTAAGTAAAAAGAAAAATAAGAAGAATAAATCTATTAATGAGAAAACCGAAAAAATAAACGACTATCAAAAGGATGATAATAAGGGTAATTCTATATCTAGTCTTGATTTAAGCTACCAAAACGATTGTGAAAAATTACATAAATCACCTAAAAAATCTACACATGGAAAAAATAATAGTGAAATTAATGACTCATTAATTAGCGTTATAGGTAATAACATTTCTTGTATTAAGAAAGAAGGTGATACAGAATCCCCTAATTTGGGAAAAAAGAATAAAAAGAAAAATAGGCTATCCATTAATAATGATAATAGTTCAGAAGAAATTAATCATAACAAGAAGGATGAAAATGATGGCCTAGAAAAAATCAGAAAAAAAGAAAATAATCAGACTATTAAAACGGAATTTGAAAAGAGTAATAAGAGAAAAGTTAAACAGTATCTAAATGACAGTGATGAGAATAACAGTCCCAAGAAAAAACGAATTAAAATAGAAGTTGAAAGTGATACAGATTTTTATAAAAAGAAAGACAGGAAAGGCAAAGATGTTAGTATTGATGTATCTCAAATTTCATCAATACATCCTGATAATTATGATGATGAATATTATTTGGATATAAAAGTCAAACAAGAAATAACTGACAAGAATATAAAAGTAAAAAAGAAATATTCTAAATCTAGTTTTGATTTGAATAATCAAAGCGAAAATGAAATATTGCCTAAATCATCTGAAATAAATAAGCAGAAAAAAAGTAATCATCATTTAAATGAATCAGTAAATAGGCATATAGTTAATGAAGACAGTGCTTCAGAAACATCTGAAGCTAATTTTGGACAAAACAAAAATGAAAAATATGTAATGTATAATCACAATGATACTGATAATAAAAGTGAAAAATTAAAGACCCAACAAGATTATACAAAAAATGCAAATAAAATAAAATCAGAAGCAATTTCTCGTGATAGCATTAGTAGTGAGGATATTTCTAGTAACGAGGAAAATACAAATAAAAAGCATATTGAAAGAAAATCTTTGCAACAAAGTTTAACATTTGTTAATGGGAATAATTTCGAAGATGAAAATGAATCAATTCATGAGGAACATCGGAAGAAAGAAAAAACAACTTATTCAACAATATTTAAAACAATTTCCAAAGGGAATGACAATTTAAAACCAGTTTTAAATAAAAATCAGAAAAATTCTATAATATCAAATGATGATGAAATATGGATTCTTAAATGGCCACAGAAAATTGATGTTAAGACCTTAACAAAAAATGAAATTACATTAGGTAGTAAATGTAAAATCAAAATTAATGATAATACTTATTGTGGAAGTATTGAAAACAACGTAAATAAAGTCACTGTAATGTCCCTGCAACAAGACAATTATGTAATAAATAATCTTAATCTTAATGGTATTATAAATTTTCGGAAAAGAATTCCAAAGTTGCATTTGCAGGACGATGTTTCTCTAACAAAAAATCAACCAAATTTTGCCTTTTTACCGGAAGCTAATTGTCGTCATCCATTATTTGGCTCGGATTTTAAAAGAGCTCTTAAACAACCGCATTTTGTTGCAAACCAGTTAAAAGAAAATGAAACTGAAATATTAATGATGCAAGATGAAAACAGAAAAAAACATAAAAAGCTAAAAAAACATTTGAAAGAAGAAAAAGACGAAGAAAACATTACCATTGAAACTGAATATGACGCACATAAAAAGTCGAGAAAACGCAAGTATTCAGATAATAAGTCAAAACATTCAACAAAGAAAATGAAAGTACTTTCAAGCAATCCTGAATCTGCTGAAGCATGGAAATCAGAAAAAGCAATTGAGGAAACACTTTTTAATTTTTAATATTTGGTAGTACTTAAAAGTAATGTATATATGCATATAATTTTATATGTCGTAAAATCAAAACCTTCAGCAAATATAAGAGTTCCTTTATACTTATTAATACGGAACCATACACTTAAAGGCGGTCTTGAATCTGCTAAAACATTGAAATAAGGCAAAGTAATTGAGATAAAAGGTTTACTAATAGTATTCGTATTTAAGGTTAAATAAGTATATAGATAATGTAAGGTCAATACTTCGCAAAGGTAACATCAAATATACAAATCCTATATCTGGAAATGTAATGATTAAATAATTCATTTCTAATGAATTAATCATTATAATGTTAATATTATTTATTTTTTATCTTTACCTGTAATAAATATTTTATTTTTTTTATTGTGTATCTTGTCTTTTTTTATTGTCATAGCTGCTGCCGCAACTACTACCCTTTATATCCTTGTCTGAATCATCAATGCCCCAAATTTTTCGTCATTGAGGTCGATTACAAACCGCTATTCTCTATCATTTGTAAAATGACAATGTAATTTTCATAACCAATCTTAGTTCATAACAGTATGGTTACGTTGTAAAAATATTCTTGTGTTAATAGAATAAAAACAACCATCACCAATTCGTTCCAAGGATGTAGCAAGGGTTTATAGCACAATTATGGACTTAGTATACCGTAATCTAAGAGAGTGAGAACCATAGTATTAGAAGGTAAAACGAGTTATAGGAATAAAACAAGTAAGAATCTGATGGTATATAATTTAAATATAATTACTTGTCCTGTACTGACTCATCCACATTTAGGGTCTTTCACAATTTTATTACAACAATTTCCTGTAGGAGTTATCTTAAAAATACGATTATTCCTATCTTTTGCGTATACTGGACCTGGCGCCGCCCACAAGCCTCGTTTTAGACAACGAGCCCACATCAAAAGGAGTACTGTTGTTAGAACTAGTCCATAGATCATATTGATTCATATCCTTAAGCCTATAAATAATCATCAAGTCTAGACTTATTTGAGCAAAAGCATAAGTTATCCTAGACAACTATATACCTACCTGGTTTACTAAGCAATTTGGTTTGAAGTGCCGATTTAAAAAAATAATTTCCCTCAAATTTCACTTTAAAGTATTTGACAAATTGCGTCACTCAGTGCGTAGAAGGAATTTGGTTAATAGATTGGTACTCTATCTACGTAGATTTTCTGACCCGCCATACGCCCAGCACTTTTTTTTTAAATATTTTAAGGGGCCCAGCACTTTGATCCTCCTGTAATTTCATTGTGGATATAGCAAGTTTAAATTTTTTGTGATAAAGAAAACACACTATAACTGGTTATATTGCCAACTAGCTTTTTGTAAAGCAGAGTAGTGTGACAGTATGCATGTATTTCAGAAGTAGGAAAATAGAAAAATAAATAGACTACTTATTTATGGCGAATAAAAAAAACACCCCATAATAATGAGTAGTACACTCAATAATCTAAGCCAGTAACACAAGTAGCACAATTTGATTATATTTGTCCATTCTAAACGCTGTAAACGTAATTTGTAGGAATGTATATTTATTTTTTAAATATGTACCCAATGCAATGTTTTAAATTATTTTATTGACTTTTTTATAGTCCAGAACTCGCAAAAAATGTGGGCTAAAACCAGCAATGTGTGTCTAATAACTGAAGAAATGACAATTTTGGAGAAAATATTCTTTAAAAAACACCATAACTAGTACAATCAATAAAGGCAAAAATCAGCTACAACCTCCGATTTCGTTGAACCTCCACAGATTTGGATGAAAATTTGGAATTGAGTATGTTTTATCCTCTACTTCAAAACGCTCGTTTTACGCTTTTTGCATTTTAAGGGTCCACTCCTTCTATATATATCATTTTAAAACTCAGAAATACAAAAAAAATTTTTTCATGATTTTCGATTTAAGGGCTGGTTGCTAAAAGGGTTGAAAAATTAAAATGATAAATGATGCATATAAATATAAATATAGATATAAATAATATATATATATATATATATATATATATATAATAGTTCATCCAAGAAAGGTTATTTTAAAAAGTAATTTTAAGAGATCGTCTTAAATAAGAATTTTTGAAGTTCTTATTTTTAAAAGATAAAGGGTCCCGGTTGCATTGTTCTCGCAGTAAAAGTTAGGCTTTAAATGTCTATCTCGGTTATTTTTCATTCTATAACTTCTTTTTTAATTTTTATAAGAATATCCATTATTTTTTAAGTTATTTTAAAGAAAATAAAATTTAAGAAAATTTTAAAAATTTCGATTTATTAAATCATACTTTTTTTCAAAATTAAGCATTCTAAACCGAGCAAAATATTTGAGGTCATCATTTATGCTAAAAAAGAAAGTCCTTTAGGGATAACCATAAATTTGAATTTATGTGGAAATGGTGAAAGTTTTATTTTTCGTTTTTTCCAAAAAAACTTCGAAAGTGTCATTAGTGTTATTTTTATCAATTTTGATGCTATTAACTTTTTCACTGTAAAAAGTTCATTAGAAAGGTATTTCCGAGTAGGTACTTTAAAAAGTGTTCAGGAAGTATATGTCATAAAATGCATCGGCTTTCCTTTATTTGAATACTTAGATTTAAGTACTCGCCAAAAAATATAAATATTGAAATAATATAGAAGGTTTGAATTAATACAGAAGGTTTTTCAAAGTAGGGATTTGTTTGTTTTTTTTTTATTAGTTTCAATTTTGGTAATGACACATTTTTTGTAAAAATTTATAGTTTATGAGTTATTTATGAACCTCTTTAGAACATGTATTTTTATCACGAAAAATCACAATCTTTTTTTTATCTTTAATAGCTCAGAAAGTAGTATATATTTATTCCAAAAACTTTATAAAACAAATTTTGCTTAGAATTTGACTCTCCATCAATTCCTAGGGTTATTTTTATTAAAGTAATTTTCACCCCCGAGAAGGGGTGGCATCCACCTCCAAGCTAAAAGCGCAAGTTGGTACTATATCACTTTTGTTTCTTAAGGTGTCCCCCACTTACTCATCAACAAAATCGAAGGTGAAAACCTTCATTGACTGTACTAAATAGAAAGATGAGATTCATTAAATAAATAAATAAATTGTAGTTCTTTTTTTTTTCACATTACAAGTTTTTTTTTTTAATTAATAATAATTCTTACCTTTGAAAATAATTTTTAAAAGTGCATTAACTGATCATGATTCTACATATTCTCCCTATCTCGGTGGCGGGTAAGTTAGTAAAACATAATTTATGAATATCTGAGTGAGTAGGTTATACCTATATACTACGTCTATAGTGGAATGACTACACATACATCATGCATGTCACGATATATGGTGTGATTTCTATGATGCTTTTCGTGTGTACAGGCGACGGTTATCACTTAAGTCTGTAATTACCACTTTCCGTCAAATGCGACGTCATCTTGTTGGCCATTCAAGTTGTATATATTCTACATTAAAATCTTAGATTACAGTATAGTGTGTGTCATACATGCTTCAAAAAAGCGCGTCAACTTTTTTTTTTTTTTTTTTCTTTTTTTGTGGCGTTCACCCCGATATTAGGGTATTTTGCCAAGAACAAAACGGGGAAACGATAATAGTAATAAAAATACCTAACACAAACGAATTTAGAAAGGATAAGGATTAGGTCTAGGATATTTATAGGATATGAAGGATATACTTGTACATATAAGAATATACTTATAAATATATAGGAAAAGCAATTGATGCAACTATAAATGTATTCATGTAATATAACTAAATCTTAATATTGTTATCATATATATATGAAGATAGTATTTTATAGATAATAGGATCATTGGAAGAAAGTAGAGTAAGAATAGAAGTTGGGAATGGAACACGGATGGATCGGAGATGATTAAAAAGGGAGGTGTGGTCAAATTTAGAACATGAGAAGAATATATGATTTAAGTCCGCCACTTCAGCACCGCAATTACACGACGAACTTTGTACAATACCAAGCTTGTATAAATGAGAAGGTGTGCATACGTGACCTAGACGCATACGAGTTATAATAGTTGTTGCGGTCTTTCCAAGCTTTAATTTACAAAACCATGGTTTGAAAGGAATATCGGGTTGTATAAGGCGATAAAATCTTCCTTTTATTGTACTTGTTTTTTCCCAATATTCCTTCCAGGCATACCTTAAATATATTTTTGGGAGACAAGCTAGGTCACTACAGTAATTATGATACGGATACATATCACCACAAGTTACAGCCTCTCTTGCAATAAGGTCAGCTTTGTCATTGCCGCTAATACCACTGTGTCCTGGTAAACTGGCAAAAGAAACGGAATACCCTCTCAACATGCAAAGATAAAGACTTTGTCTTATGTCACAAATAATGGGATAAACTGGTTTTGATTTAAACGGATATTTGGCTAGAGCTTGCAAAGAGCTCATAGAGTCAGTGAAAACTATTGCCTTATGTAATTTCATTAAAAGTATATATTCTACAGCTTTTAAAATACCATAGCATTCCCCGGTAAAAACTGAAGATTCCGGTGGAAGTTTAATTTTTTGAACGATATTAAATTGTGAATGAAACACACCCACACCTACACAACCGCTATTGTCTGGTTTTGATGCATCAGTAAAGATGTAGTACCATTCATTCCATTCAATGTCAGTTATAAACATAAATTTGGCATTCAATTCTGAATCATTTTTTGATAACCCAAAATCATATTTAATATTAGGAGATAAAACTAAAGATTGATATGAGCATTTATAAATGGGAAAACAGGACGATGTAAAAGTGGGAGATTCTATGGATTTATATTTTTCATAACTTTGTATTAAACATGGAGGTTTTTTATGTTTCCAATAAGATGAAGACGAAATAAAGATATGTAGTTGAGATAACTTTTGAATAAGCGGATGATCAGATAATTGTAAACAACGAAAAAAGAAGCGATCAGATAGATATTGCCTTCTTAAAACCAAAGGTGGATCACCGACTTCGAGCTGTAAAGCATTGATTGGACTTGATTTCATTGCTCCAGAGATAATCCTCAAGGCCTTTGATTGAATTAAATTCAATTTCTTAAAAGCAAATGAACTTCCTGGAGCTAACAAAAAAGTTCCATAATCAATGACACTCCTTATAAGACCATTATAAGCAAGTTTTAATGAAACGGGATGTGCTCCCCACCAAACTCCAGCAAGGCACCTAAGAATGTTGAGGTTACGCTCACATTTCGTAGAAATATAATTACAGTGGGACAGACCTGTTAATTTATTATCTAGCACGATACCTAAAAATTTAATTTCAGTCTTTATAGGAATGTATGAGTTATCATAAAGCACCTTAATTTGTTGCGGTGATCTCATTCTTGAAAACAAAACTACA